GTCTAGACCTAGTTTAGTCCTGGTTTAGATCTAGTTTAGACCTGGTTTAGATCTAGTTTAGATCTGGTTTAAGACCTGGTTTAGACCTGGTTTAGATCTAGTTTAGACCTGGTTTTAGACCTGATTTTAGACCTGGTTTTAGACCTGGTTTAGACCTGGTTTAGACCTGGTTTAGACCTAGTTTAGACCTGTTTTAGTTTCCGGAATTATGAGTGGAATTAATGGAAAAAAAAAAAAAAAAAGGATATAGCCAAACAGGAAAACAAGGAAAATACCGCCATGTAATCGATTTATTTCAACAAAGTAACTGTAATCCAATTACCACTCACTGAAACAGTAACTGTAAGTGAATACAGTTACTCATAATTTGTACTCTGATTATGTAACGCCGGTACATGTAATCTGTTACTCCCCAACACTGCTCTTTTTACAACAGAAATCAAATATTCTTCAGAAAGTTCTTCCCAACTCTGTTGCAGAAGTTTCCATAAATGTGTGGCACTTGTAGGTTGCTTCACTCTTCTGTCCAGTTCATCCCAAACCAGCTCGATGGGGTTTAAGTCTGGACACTGTGCTGGACACTCCATGTTTTCAAGCTTTACCATCTTGTTCTTTTTTTCTGAGGTAGTTTTGGCAGAGCTTGGACTTGTGTTTTGTTGTATTTAGTTTTGTTTTTTTTTTAACCTCTGGCTGTTCAGTTCTTACCTTTGTACCATTTCAAGCTCTTCATTGGACTTGCACAACTTTAATTGCAATAAATAACTGGAAAAATTAGGGTGTATATCAACACTATTTTGGGGGCGGTCAGTATTTATGGTGGTACTTTTTCTTTGCGCTACTGGGAGACTTTTTTGTTATTTTTTGTCTATACACTAAGATTTATTACTCTATTTTCTGTTCTCTGTTATAATGTTGTTTCCTGGAGTTTTGTTTAGTTTCATTTTTAACAAACAAACTCTGCACATTTATTATACAAAACACACTCTGTTCCACCTTGTGATGTCATGTGGTAATACAAGAAGTGCTCCACTGTGTTTTTAAACTCCATACACCTTCACTAGAATCATTTGGGTAATTTCAGCCCTGGAATTGCCAATTTCTATATTTAACAAAAGGTAAAAGGAGCTGTTAACTTGAAAACTGCCACTTCATGACATCACAAGGTGGAACAGAGCATTTTGAGCGTTGGCGATGTAGACAGTAGGGGTCTAACGATATCCAAGTCTCATGGTACGATATTGTGACGGCATGAACCTCTCAGTACGATATTTATTGCAGTATTTTGTGAAAGCTCACGATATGTTGGGGAGGCTCACGATTAGGGATGTAACAATATCCAAATCTCTCTGTACGATATTTTCACAATATACATCTCACGATACGATATTTATTGCGATATTTTGTGGAGCCTAACAAAACTGTTAATATGCTACTTTTTCCTCTTAAAATGCCTTGACAAAACTTAATCCAAAGAACTAAGACTTAAAAGTGCTTAGAGCTGTTATTTCTTCTTGTAGTCTGCACTGAAATGGAGCAAAGGATCATGGTCTATGTAGTTCCCTGACTGTTTTTTTTTTTAGCTATTGCTGCACCATAACTCTTAAGTTAAGCAAATAGACTTGTAATTGGATATATTGTGATGGTCCACGATATTATTGTGAGAACTCTGACGATATTTTGGTTATTGTTACATCCCCAGTAGACAGACTAATAATAAAGTGTTACTCAAACATGTGTGAATGAAACAAAACACAACTCCAGGTCTGTTTTTGATGAGAAAACAACATTATATCACGGTTTAAAGCTCACAAGAGTCGAGTTTGCATAATATAGGCCATTTTAAGCTGTAAAACGTTGAATTAATCACTTCTATTCAGCTTCTATTACAGATGCAAACTCACTACTGAAGCGTTTCATTCTGCTATTTTTTGATTACAGCTCATTGTTTTTATGGTTTAAATCTGCTCTTGGGTTATTCTGACAGAAATTAGGTTGATTCCAGCGATTCCAGCTCCCACAGACGAATGCTGCCGTTGTGTCCTTGGGCAAGACACTTAACCGACCTCACCCCCATTGTCTGTGTGCACTGGAGTATGAGTGTGTGTGTGTGAATGGGTGAGTGGATCCTTGATGTAATGCGTGTTGAGTCTTGAAGGTGAAAAAGCGCTGTATAAAAATGCGACATTTACCATATTATCGTAAATAGTTTGTATTTACATCAGGAATATATCACCCTTCAGACTGTGTTATTGTGACAAACCACTGTCCACTGCATGTTTTTATTTTTTTATTTAAGCATGACTCAGTAAAACCTACTGGGATATGACTGGACAGGAAGTGGTGATGTTAACAGCGAACTTACCAGGCGCCGTTGTGCACAGAGCATGAAAATATGAAGCTCTGATTGTCCGATAATCAGGGCGTTTGCATGGTAGTTACGGCTTTACCAAAAAAAGCTTTACCAAAACCCAAATCTGGTCCCTGAGAGCACTTATAAACTCATTACTGTGAATAATTAAGATACTCGGAATGCATTTGTTAAGTGAAATAACGTTTTTCAGACTGTAAAATTCAGGTTCACCTATCACAATAACACATTTTGAAGTCGCATGAACGCAAAAGCAGATTTAAACCACAAAAAACTGATCTAAATCTGTAATATTGTTAAAAAATAAGTAAATAGATGTTCTTAATTCAACCTCTTATGGCTTAAATCTTATCATATAGTCAAAAAATTACCAAAATGTGCACACTATAAGCACTGACACTCAAAAAATATAGTAATTATCACGACAGGCCAAGAGTATTTAATGTTGGAGGTGTGCATGGTGTGATATAAGACTAAACTATGTCAAAACAGTCACCAACTCTTCTCTGTATGTTGGTAATGTACAGTGAAACTTGACCTTTTCCTCTCTGCTCTCCTCCTCTCCTTCAGTGCGTCTGTCCGATCCTGTCTTCTCTCTCTTTTATCACGTCGCTGTTTTTGTGCCGCAGATCACGTAAAAGTCAAATCCCTCCTTTCATTAAAAACATGTGACCTGCTTCTGTTTAACGCCGGAAAACCTCCGCTTCCCGGTTCACTTAATCCCACACCGTCTGAGGGAGGCAATATGAGATGTGTTTTTATGATTTGAAAAAGAATGGGCTGTTTTCTTAAAGGTGCACTATGTAACATTTATGACAGGTTCCTGCTCATCTCCATGGATATGTTTATTTAAGTATACTGTGTTTTTCAGACTTTAAGTTGCTCTGGAGTATAAATCGCACCAGCCAAAACATGCGTAATGAAGAAGAAAAAAACATATATAAGTTACACTTTTTGAGGGAATTTTATTTTATAAAATCAGAGACCAGGAACCGACATTTAATCTTGAAAGGAAACTCATAGTAAAAACAATAGAACAGGGAACAACAGACTGTTAACGTCACATATGAACAGTTCTTCAGATAAATATAACATAAACAACAGAACAAGTTTAACAAACTCTCCATCTCACTCCAAATCACTAAATCCTTTCACTTCTTCATCCTCTGTGTCACTTCTGAGCAACTTCATGACCTCCGGAGGTAAACAGAGCGCCGCTTCCTCTTCTGTGTCGCTGCTGTCAGACTCAGCATCAGTTCCAGTTAGAATTATTCCGGTCTTTCTGAATCCCGACAGGATGGTTTCGGTGTGACTGAAGTTCAGGTTTTGTCCATCCATCCAGTGACTTCCAGGAAAGTTGCATGATGCACCCTCCTGATGTCACAAGTTTCTTGCTCACTCCACACTTTCTTTCTGCTGCTCGATTACTGTTTTCGGCTGCATATTTCGCTGTTTGCAGCCTGTAATCTGCAGAATCTGATTATGTTTTTGTGGGCATTTGTGTTCAGTTCCATGTGTCGCATAAACGAGTTCCAGTCCTTCCACTGAACAAATAAAAAAACTGTAGCTGTAACTAAGTAATTGAGTGAAATATACCAAAAATATATCGAAACAGCAGCCCACGATATCGATAATGTATCATCACATTAAATGATATGATATATTGATATTTCAATATTTTTGCACAGCCCTAGTTAGCACACTAGTTGTGCAAAAGTAAAACTCCACTGTAGCTTCTGAAAACTTCTAAAAAATTCTACTTAATTTAGACGTGTTTTGATGTTGTTTGTCAATGTTAAGTTTATTTTGACACAGTAACACTTGGAAATTAATGTAAATGAACTTACTGTGCAAAAATTATATAATATCACATTAATATAGCCATAGTTATTGAATATTAGGGCTGAGGATCATTAAGAAGTTGCCGATACGATACATAGGTCATGATAAGATACGTCTTTCGATACAGTGCACTGTATGATTCGATACGATATATTTCAAATCAATTTGATACGGCTGGTGATATATCGATACAGCAGCCCATGCTATTGATACTGTATCAGCACATTAAACAATACAATATATTGATTTATTTCAATATTTTAGCACAGCTCTATTGAATATTGCATCTTTTTCTCAGACTGTACAGGCTTAAACAGTTGTGGTCTCTGGATAAACGTACAGTAGGTGTTGGTCATGGTACAGTAAAGCCGGTGTGCCAATGTGGGTTAAAGACACTCTATCTGTCTCTGTACACTGAGGCGTAATTAGGCTAATAGTGATACAAGCAGGAAGTCTGTACACTGGAGTTCAACCTGATAATGCAGGAGAGGCCCGGGCTCTTTGTAAGACTTGCCATTTCACATGTTTTGCTGAGTGGAAAAAAGTCTGCGACATATTTTAAGAAAAGCAATAGTCGCTCTTCAGTATTTATTAAATGTAACTCAGATTTATTCATCTGTCTATCTTTCTATCTTAGCAAAATTATTTTATTGAAGCCATTTCCAAAAACTGACACAAACATTCATTCATGGGTCATTTAAATTAAGGTCTATTAACGTAAAATACCAAATAATAGCCGGGGCGTTTATTTGTCTTTAACGTTGTCCATTTTGTGTTTTTGTTGTTCCAGTTGAGCCCAGCGGGGGGCGCTAGCTGCAGCCATGTTGCATCAGACTGAGGGCTCCAGCACCCTGCAGCTGGTGGCCAGTGACATGACGGGCATCATGGAGAGACTGGACACACGGGACCTCGACCTGGGAGATGGAGATTACGACTCCACAGACGCAGGTGAGAAATACAACAGAACAAAATATAAAACTTTTCTGGTGCTTGTTTCTTTTCGCCTGGCTGGTTCCCTGAGGATGTTACTACTATGCCCAGAATATTTTCTTCAGTGCAGTCTATTTAAGAACTTGGAAAAACCATTGAAGTTGCTTAACAAGTCCAGACTTACCCTGAAATCCTGAAATGAATCTAGCTCCATCTCCAGTTTAAGCCTCAACTCGTTCGTTGTAGAGAGGATGCTGGCTGTGGAGTGCAGAGCCTGGTTAATATTCCCAGGGAATGAAGTTGCCTCACCTCTTCCCAATGCGCGGTAGTAGATGTGGAACTTAAGTTCTGCTGTGCTGTGTGTAAAGCTGTAATGGAGACAGACGTGATGAAGCACACAATCAGAACCCACTGAAAACCAGTTCATCCTCATACTTTAAAAAATGAAGAAATAAAAAAAATATCTAATCAACCAAAGATTTCACAACCCCACTGCAGTACCTCCGTGATCCCCCTATGGGTCACGCCGCCCTGTTGAAGACCTCTGCTTTAAAGGTTGTATAGAGGATTTTCCAAGGAACGAGAAATCCAACGACTGTTTGTCCTTTTTCAAATGTTGCGCATGCGTGAAACCACCCCCCCTCCCCTACAGCTCCCTACGTAGAAACGCCTTCTCCCGCCTCCTCTTTACGCCAGAAACAGGTTTGTTTACAGCCGGTGAGCTGCACATGACTTGTAAACAACTAACTACAGTGTTGGTTAGGCAAGGCGGAGAAGTGAGGAGCGGGGGAGCGGGTGTGCGGACATTTCGTTCGCGGACGAGAAGTGAGGAGCAGGGAGAAGAGCGGAGCAGGGAGAGAGGAGAGAGAGAGGGGAGAGGAGAGGGGAGCGGTGCGCGGAGATTCCGTGCCCGGAGAAGTGAGGAGAAGGGGGAAGAGCGGAACGGGCAGCGGGGACAGGAGTAGGAAAGGGGAGCAGAGAAGGTTGCGCGGAGATTCAGTGCGAATGAACTAGCTACAACACACAGCAGAAAGCGGACTCTTTCTTTGCCTTGAAAATTACGTTTTCAGACATAGGATATCGCTTTCGTGTCCTGAAAAACGTTTGACTAGCTCTTGGAAATAAAGTACGTTTTCATAATAAGCAGAAGTTTCCTGTCCAGGAGTAATTTGGCGACCAGTGCGTCAGTCTTTAGACCCTGCGTCTGCTTCAGTCGCGCCATCGCTGGAATGAATCTACAAGAATCACCTTAGTTTGGCTTCGCTGCTTTTCCCCTTGTCTTCTTCTTTCAGTGACCTCAAAAACGGACTTTCTTTTGCGGCTAACTGCTCCTGGATTCTTGTCGCCATTGCAACAAACTTTGTGCTAACTGCGAGGAAGATATAGGTCAAAAAAAGCCGCTAAGAACTGTTGCGTTGGTGGAGTAAACAGCGTCTGTGCGTCTTGCGTCTGTGGACTGCGTGACAGGCGTACGTAAACCACGTACCGGCGGCGCAGGCAAGTCAGTTACGCTAGAAACGTAGGGAGATTGATTGACAGCCTGTCAGCTACAGATAACGAGGCAGTGTCGTTATCTATTGGCAAATGTTTAGCCCCACCACGTCCAGAGTGGATGAATTTTTATTCTCTTTTTTTTGGTCATCATAATTACAAGGCTACTGCACCTCTATAATGCTATCATTGACAACTTGAAACAAAAAAAAACAAAAAAAAAAATCCCCATACAACCTTTAAGTTAAATGTTGTGTTTCCTTGTGTGTAGCGGAGCACCTCCCGTTCACTGCGGTGTATCACACTGTGGGCTTTAAGGAGCCAGAGGCCAAAGTATTTCTGACTCCGCCCATCACCGCCAAGATCCTGGACGTGGAGAGATTCACCTCGGCTCAAGATCGTTTCAATGTGACCACACAGAGGAGCGTCAGTAAGGTACAGGACTACTACTGCTACTACTACTACTCCTACTACTCCTGCTACTGCTATTAAGCTAAGCAGGGTCTGGCCTGTTTAATACTTGAAAGGGAGACCGCTGGGAATACCAGGTGCCATATTGGCAGCCTCACTTTTGTCAGTCTGTTCCAGGGCAGCTGTGGCTACAGTAGTAGCTGACGACCGCAGAGAGTGAAGTGAATGAAAAATGCAAAGCGTTTTGGGCACAATATAAATCCAGTGCATTATTATTTTAACACCAGAACCACTGCCTTTATTACTGTAATGGTGCTATTACTTATGTCCTGGGCAGTCTGCCTCGTTAGTCTCTCTCAGACCACTATATTTGATTATATCTGATTATCTGATTATATGAGTCATGACACTTCCACAGTTTGACTCTTGCTAGACTCGTCCCAGACCTTCTGTATGACTCTTGTTCTTTCTGTTGTTCAGTCGATGCCGGCCGTTTACAAGATCGAGCTGAAACATGGAGAGTTCACCTGGACCATCAAAAAGAAAGAGAAGCACTTTATGGACCTGCACCGAGAGCTGCGCACCTACAAGACCTTCATGAGGATCCCACTGCCCCGGAGGTGGGCTTCAGACTCAGACTGACTGTAACAGAGCTAACAGTCTGGTCAGCCAGGACTAAAACCAAGACGATACCAGGACTAAACCAGGACAGGAGCTTTAGAGGGTTGATGACATTTAGAATACATTTTTGGGATAATCAATTTGTTTCAATATTATTAATTGCCAAGATCTCACTTTAAAATGTGTTAGCGACAAAACAAGAGTATGTTTTTTGCTATTTTCAGTCACACAGTGAGAACTCCCACGACTCGAAATGAGGTGAGACGGATGCCTGAGCTGCCCCGGGGCGGAGAGGAGCTGGAGAGAGAGGGGCAGGTCTCCAGCCGAAGGGTAAAAACTGAACACAACAAAACACAAACAAAGATGAGCAAACTCAAACCACTCTGAAAATATTAACACAGTAGTCATTCTAATATTTAGCATTTTCAAAGACAACTGGAGCATTACCAACCACAGAATAGAATTAAATGTGTCTGTTTTGCATGTATTCATTTTTTATAGTTCAAAAACACCTTAAAAACCTTGCCTATCCACAGATTTGACCTGTAAATTTCTCTGGTTTGTCTGCAGAGAGATCTATGAATTTAATGCCACACTGTGAAAAGCTGAACACAACAGCAAACCAAACACGACCAAACATGACCAATATCAAACCACTCCAGTAAAATAATAGCACAGACAGTAATTATTCTAATATTTTACCTTTTCAGAAACAACTGGAGGATTACTTGAACAACCTGCTGAAGATGTCCATGTACAGAAACTACCACGCCACCGTAAGAACCGTCCTAAATATATATTATCAACTATTATATTATTTTTGACATTTGTTATCTCAAATTAGATGAAGGTGGATCACATTTTTCTAATTCTCATTCTTTCTTTCTAATTTCTAATTCTGTTGGCCTTTAGTTGGTTGACCAAAATTAGTATGAACCAATTATTTAGTTTAGATTATATTTTGGTGATAAATAGATAGATAGATAGATAGATAGATACTGAACAACTATTTTGTAATGTTCCTACTTTAAAAAAAATTAAGTGGACACCGAGTATTTAACTTCAAAGCCCCAAACAAATGGAACAACTTGCCTTCCTCCGATCAATTACATCAATCAATCCACCAGTTTAAGGTGTCAGTCTCCAGACACTTACACACAGATGTGGGGACTTGCAATTCGTGACTTGGACTCGAGTCAGACTTGAGTCACTATTTTCAAGACTTGAGACTTGACTTGATAAAATGGATTAAGACTTAAATTGCGATGCCAGACTGAACCAGGACTGAAACGGCTATAAACCAGGTCTAAACCAGTCTCAGTTCTAGTCTCAGTCACGGTCTCAGTCCCGATCCTGGTCCTGGTCTGGTCCCGGTCTCAGTCCTAAACCTGGACTGAACCAGGACTGAACCAGGAGTGTTGGGACTGGCCCAGGCATGCACCCGCGTAGACTGTCAGGTGATCAGGAAACCGGGATCAGACTGGAAACAGACTGGGACTGAAACCAGGACTGAGACCTGGTTTAGTCCTGGTTCAGTTTTGGTTTAGAGCTGGTTTAGACCTGTTCAGTCCTGTTTTAGTCCTGGTTTAGTTCTGGTTCAGTCCGTATGCGGCGCAAAAGTCCGACGTCGCGAAAACGAGAAACGCCGTTATCCGTTTTTTCCATTATTGACATAAACACAAAATCGAAAACTGAAAAAATTAATCGTTATCTGTTTTTCATTTTGGTTTTTTGAGACAAATAATGAAGAAAACAAACATCTTCTTTTTTTTGTTTTGTTTTATATTGAAAAACAAAATGCACGAATGATACAGGGATTCGTAATGATTCACACAAAGATTTTGTCAAGACATTTAAAAAGGAAAAATGAACGTTTCTACAACTCTTACATAATCTATAAATACTCATATATAAATATACTGTGACTTTTTAAGCACAATTTAGTTTAAAAATCATGTAAATTGCAAAAATCTAAGTTGTATTTGGTGCTTTGATTTAAAGACTTTAAATGACTTGAAGCTCAAAGCAGACGACTTGGACTTGACTTGGATTTATGGGCCAGTGACTCGAGACTCGACTTGGACTTGCCTGTATTTGACTTGGGACTTGACTCGGACTTGAGGTCAAAGACTTGAGACTTACTTGAGACTTTCAAAATGATGACTTAGTCCCACTTCTGCTTTCACACATCCTGCTCCTGTTTTCCATAAAAGTCCCTTTTTGGTTTATGTACTTTCTGTTGTACGTAGAGCTGCTTTTACTGCATTACAGCAAAAAGCAACACATTACAGTAATTCGTTACTACTTCTGTGTAAATAGTTGCTTTTGTTTTGTTTACTAGGACCTTAAATGTGTCTGTGTTTTTTCAGATGGAGTTCATTGAAGTGAGTCAGCTCTCGTTCATCCACGACCTCGGACCCAAAGGCCTGTAAGAAAACTGTAACATTTAATTACAAATATAACACAGATACTTGGATTAATGGTGTTTTCTGGTTTAGTGAAGGCATGGTGCTCAAGAGGTCTGGAGGACACAGGATCCCAGGACTGAACTGCTGCGGACGGAGTAAAATGTGCTACCGCTGGTCCAAACGGTCAGTGTCTGTCTAAAATGTCACAATGAAGACCAAACCAGGACAGGAGAGCAGTGTCACTTATCCACAGATCTGACCTGTAACTTGGCCCAGTAGTGCTACCTGCTTGACTCCACGGACATAAATGTTTAATGCGACACTACGGGACATTTCAGACACGAGCTGACGAACTTCCATGAGAAAAGTCACGCAGCGTGCCTTTAATTCTGTGTGTGTTTATTGTGTTTCAGGTGGCTGGTGGTGAAAGACTCATTCCTTCTGTACATGAAGCCGGACTCTGGGGCCATCTCGTTCGTGATGCTCGTGGACAAAGAGTTCAACATCAAAATGGACTCAAAAGACACGGAGACCAGACACGGGATCCGGGTGGACAGCCTCTCCAGGTCTGAGCTCTTTATTCCTCTGGACTTTCTCTTCAGGAGGGCTGGGTCATTACTAGGGATGCAACGATATGGTTTTCCCACGATTCGATACGTATCTCGATTCACGGGACGTTTTAAGACACACACACACAAAAAAATCTCATGTCATTTTTTTCTGCTGATGACTATAATATAATAACACTATGATGTTAATGAAACGTTACATACAATATTTTACAGTACAACTTCTGCACAGTTGTAGTTTATATGTAAAGTGTTTTAGTTCATTTGGTTCAATGATTTACATCTCAGCATTTTTATTCTGTGAAAATAAGAACAGAGCTTTCTCAGGCTATTTTATAATTTATAATACAATATAGAGTGGTAGGGGAGCTACAATATGAGATTCTTCCTTCTTTGATGATGGTTTGATGATTTCTTTTCCTCCTGAGTCTCACTGTGTCTGCGCTGCTCTGCCTCCTCCAGAAGACTTAGACACACTGAGTTCTCCCATCCTCTTTCTGAAAACTCATACTGTTTTATATTACAGAAATGTCTCAACAGACAGTTTTATGACTAAAACTAATGAGTAGAAGATGGCATATATAGCAAGGGCATGTTATTAAAGCCGATGTAAAGCCATAAGAGATTCTGAAATATTTAAAAGTGACTATCTTTTTCATTTCTGGGTCCATCAACGTAAAATAAAAAGTGACTGAATGATAAAACCCACCTCTGTAAGTCCCTGTAAGGTAAGCTGTAAGGACACTGCCATAACTGTTACCCTTTCAGACCAAAATAAATGCACCCATGGAGGGACACTGAACATGAGTATCGAGTATCGTGACACCAGTATCCAACGATTCTTCATTATATAGAATATCGTTACATCTCTAGTCATTACATTTTACTGGTGATATGTAGTGATTTTGGCTGCAAACTAAATCGCAAATCGAATGAAAAACACAATTTGAGAAAATGTTATTGTAAAAAGCCTTAATCAGATCAGTACTGTGGTCCAAAGCAACAAAAAGAAATGATCTGATGAAGTTTGTTTTTTTTTTGCTGAAACATTATCTAAAAATAAAAATAAGTTTTGGACGTCAGCCATCTGCTCCTTGCATTTGCACCTCAATTAGATTTTGTTCTCCCTTTTCTGTCTCATTCAAATCACAAAGACTTTTTTTAAAGATAAAACACCGTGCACTGACTGTAAACAAGAAAATATACTGTTATTAAAACCAAACTGCTACCCCTGTCAAACTCAAATTCACACAGGGCCAAAATTAAAAACTGGTTTTAAGTCGTGGGCCAAACTAAATATTTATTGAAAAATTTCAACAACATCTGCATGTTTTCTTTCGAGATATGTAATGTTAAATCTTTTCTTATTAAAATAAATGTTTAATAATAGTTTTGCTTAAACATTGAATCCAGAACAAGCATAATATAAAATAATAACACAATTTTAAATAAATAATGTCTCTATAGTCTATCTGTAGCCAGTGGGCAGCTCTAATACAGATTTGATACGATCTCCCTGGCAAAATATAATTATATCACGGGCCAAATTTGGACCCCAGGCCTGAGTTTGACATGTCTGCTGTAGATTTTAGACTGCCACTCACTACAGGAGAATTTGCCTGATTTTTGCTGCGATTTGCTTCTTCTCGAGCAGGGAGGCATGACCTGACTTCTGTCAGTGTGACTCTGAGCTGCTCTGTCAGATCATAAACACTAAACATCAGCAACGCTACAGTAACAGCTGATAAAACAGAGCATCAGGGGCACAGAGAAGGAAACAAACTCAGGAAACAGCAAAAATAACGAGAAGACTTTATAGTCAGTCCAGCATTTCATCCGCATTACATTACCAATGACATCCAGTCCACAAAACCACACTATTAATCCAATTTGTGACATTCTTTGAAAGTAAAAAGGTGAGAGTAGTTCCTCACGTGTGTCTGTTTACATCCACACAGAGCACGGATCGAGGTGAAGCTGCAGATTAACGATACTGACTCTACTTCCTGTGCACTTTATCACCAATCTTTTATGCTTTAAAAATCATGTATCTGAAGTTTTGCACCACATTTCACAAATAATAATGACACAGATTTGACTTATATCTAAACTAGAAGTGCAGTGCTCTGGTTTTTCGAACACGTAAGAGTCTCAAAGCGAGTCGTTTATATCCTGTGGTCCGCAGACAGATCCCGCTGCAGTCTTTGTGATCGTAGATTTTAAGTCTCATCAGATTCTCCTCGTGTCTGTGGTGTGCGCTTTTTGTTACACGTTTAAAAATCATTTAAGACCGAAAAATCCTGTAGTATGTGACAGCCTTTAGTTTAGGAGCTCAGTTTTTGCCCAAATTTTAATGCTCAGAATCATATTTTTATGCATAAATCACAAAATTGCAATACTTTTAGTTAACCTACTTTCTCAAATAATCCACAAACTTCACAGATTACAGCTTTGTATATGTAAATTCAATAAAATAGCTAATGTAAAGTATATCTAGGTTGTATAAAGGATCAGGTAAAGTAAGAAGATACAGTGCACAGATGAAATGGGGATTTGATATGACATGGGGGTTATCTGTTACATACGGGAGAGTTTGTTTTTTTTTACAGTGGAGCATGTATAAATGTATTATAAAGCCTCTCGTGTCAATTATATCTCATGTTTTATTCTACATAGTGATGAAAGAGTTGACCATACAGAGAAAAAACACAACCCTGAGGAAGATTCACAGATCGAAATGTCACTTTATTACATTTTTTTGTCTCTTTTTCTATGTCTGTGTAACATGTGGAAAACCGTAGAACTCTAGATCTTGGGAATAATGTCCGACTACTTCTTAATTTTCCCGTCTGTGTTGTGTTCTCTGTTGCAGGAGCCTGGTGCTGAAGTGCAACAGTTACCGTCACGCTCGCTGGTGGGGTCAGTCCATCGAAGGATTCGTCAAAAAACACGGAGCTGCTTTTCTCACAGATCACAGGTTCGGATCGTTCGCCAGAGAAGAGGAGCACATCCCAGCCAAATGGTGACTATTTTACAACATTTTACCTTTTTTTGTTACTGGTTCTTCGGTTAATTTGTGTACAGTAAACGTAAAAATCACCATAATTAATGCTTCCGTGGTGTTTAAAGGTTCACAAGGTAACTTTTCTGCAACCAGCTTGGAGATATTATTGGTTTTATTTGGTATTTACTGTGTTTTTATTCAATTACTGGTGTTTTATTGCAAAATATAAATCAAATACGTAGAAAAACATGCGTTGTTATTGTGAGTAGGTCCACAGATCTGAGCTTTAAAGACGTGCTGGCCCCACCTTAAACTGTCTGTGAAACATTCCAGCCAAAGCTAAAACATCTCAGTGTGGTCATTGCCAGAATCTCCAGCTAAAATTTACATAATGCTTCATAAATTGAGTTGGAGTTTTAAAATTGTTTAGTTGTATTCATTGTTGTTTCATGCACCCCCGAAATGAACGACACGACTCACGTTTATTTTAGCTTTGGGCAACAAATTTTGGATTTTGGTTCAGTTTTTTAACAAGCCTTTTTTTGTTTTCTGCCTCTTTACAACAATAACAACTCAATGTGCTTTTCCCATGAGCCCTTGAGTCTCATGTTCTTAAAGTTTAGTTCATTTAGAGACAGAGAGACTGCACAATCTACATTAACCTTAAGAGGAGAGAGGCTTTGTACCAGGTTGTAGCACCAGTGCTAATTTCCATCTGAAGTCCCTGGGCAGGTTCATTGATTGACTATTTTAATTGACTTTTATCAGCTGTTCTTCCTGGAGACCTGTGTAGCATGTTTTGGGTTGATGTGTCCAGAAGAAACCCATCCAGACACAGGGAGAAACATACAAATTCCACACCCGGGAACTGAACCTGGAAACTTCTTGTTGTGAGGCATGAGTTGGTAACAGTAACAGTAAAGTAAAGACCATGTTATTACATAGAAACAATGAAACGATAAAATAAACAAATATATTATCATTAAAGTATGTAGTTATATCAAATGAAAATGTTTTTTAGCTATTTAAATTAAATATGAATGTAGTCTTATGAAGTTTATAAATATTGCATTTTAATGTTCAGGACATTACAAATTCAATACCAACTACTTTCATTAAACATTACATTTTATTGAAATGTATTTAGTTAGTCATTTACTCATTTTCTTCCTGAAGCTAGTCATTTGTTTGAGTTTGGGCTGCTGACACCTCTTGTTTGTACTCGGACCAGAACAGTTCCAGCAGTTTCTGTGCTCGCTGTGACATGTTTTGCATTTAAATGGTCTCGCTGAGAGTTGAGGTGCTTCTGTGATATGCAAACTCTTCTCTTCACAGTTCACAAAAAACGCTGCCTTTGTCATGTCTTCCATCGGGTAGTTTTTTTGAATAGAAATTTACCGTCCAGCACCAGCAGACCCAGAGCGCTTTCATGCTCTATTGGAAGTGTGTGCGTCAGTATAATTGGTGTAACGCGACATGGTGCAGTGACAAATGTTCCACGTTGTTTGGAAAACTGCGATAAAATGCGTTAATATTTTTAATGCATTATTTTCTTCGTAATTAATTAATCGTAATTAACGTGTTAATGTCCCACCCCTAGTATTTAGAAAATGGATGAAATAAAATGATCATGAGGTAGCGGGGCAGTAATCTCTCATGTTTTTCACCTTTCTGAGTCCTTTAAAAGCTGATAAACAGTAGTAATTGTAGTAATTGTCCCCTGTCCCCTGTGTCTGAGTCTGGGGCAGTACCTTTGTGTCTCGCTGGAGTAATTTGACGCAAACTGAGTGAAAGTGAAGCCGCTCTGCTCCTCACCTGCTCCGAAACCTGACCCCGGGCCCACAGACGCTGGGGGTGTCCGACTGTGAATCTACAATGGACCGGCCGCATGTACGCTACTGTACGTGTGGGCCATCGCTGCAGACTCATTATGTAACCTGGGTTATACTTAAAGGGGCACTGTGTAACTTTTCCGGTGGAGAGTCTTCCATCTGCTTTGTCTGGAATGTCCCGATGTGGCATTAAACGTGTCCATCTTGCGTTTACTTAATAACTTGGGTTTTTATTGACTTCCAAAACTTGCATTCTTACTGTGAGTGGGCTCGCCGCTCCATAGATTTGACATGTAACTTGGCCCCGCGGTGTCACCAGCTGTTTTTGTAGAGATAAATAAATACATTATGATAGTTTTACATTCGTTAAGTGGCAGTTTGTGGGAAAAAAACGTGAAAGAAAATGACACAAATACAGGAAGTAAAACTCAGACCCATTTGATGTTCATTTTTAATATCTTGTTGAATAAATGTATTATTATTTCCAATATTTTCAATGGCATATTTATCCATACATAAAGTATTATTATCTTGTCTGTGCAGGTACGTGAACGGTAAAACGTACATGGAGGATGTTGCAGACGCCATGGAGGAGGCCAAAGAGGAGATCTTCATCACAGACTGGTGGTGAGTTTATATTTGTGACTATAGAATTCTAGAGGGGACTTAAAAAGTAGAAGCTGCTCATGTGGGGGCCATCTTTTGATAGTAGTCACAGTTAATAAACAAACAAATGTGTGAAAGAAATGACTGATGCAATTGTTAAATACAGCAAAAAGGAAAAAAAAGTTAAATTGATAAAATAGAATGTATTTAAACATTACAGTTTCTGATGCAAGTACTTGGAACCAAAACCAAGATCTAAATGGTCTTGGTTAAATATAGGACCATATCTACGTGTTTTGTTTCAATTCAGTATCAGCTACTTTCTGCCAGGTTAAACGGCAGAGGTTGGGACTTGCAAGTCGTCACTGTTTTTAGGACTTGAGACTTGACTTGCTAAAACTGAGACGTGGGACTCGACTTGGACTTGAAGGTCAGTGACTTGAGAAGACTTGAGAAGCACTTTTAAAAAGGAAAAATTAACTAAATTAATTTGTACAACTCTTATATACTCTATAAATAAAATTCATATAAATTGCAAAAATCTACTTTAGTTTAAAGACCTGAAATGACTTGTAGCTCAAAGCAGACGACTTGACTTGGACTTGACTTGGACTTATGGGCCTGTGACTCGAGACTCGACTTGGAATTGCCTGTATTGACTGACTTGACTCGGACTTGAGGTCAAAGATTTGAGACTTATTTGAAACTTGCAAAACTACGACTTGGTCCCACCTCCGTTAAGCTGTAGAAAATGGATTAAATTAAATTTCTCTGATCTGGCCATGATTTTAAAACTTATATCAGGTTATTCATCTTGTTTTCAGATTTATTATCTACTTACTAGTTCTGAGACTGCTGATATATAAAAGAATATGGCTAAAGTAAGGGCAGTTTTCATATTAATTCAAGTTTTTCTCCTTGGCTTTTAACTCAGGGTTGAGGGCTGACTGCGATATTTACCTGTCGCTGTATTTGTCACTGTTTGTTATGTGTCCTATATAACCCCCGGGTCGCGGGCCGGTACCGTGGGTCGTTTGGTACCGGGCCGCGAAAGCCTAAACCCCCCCTCCTACGCCACGCAGACCGTGCTTCCTCTTGTGCGCCACGTGAACTCCTCCCGTGTTTCCCACACCTCTAAACCAGAACTAAAACCAGGACTAAGCCAGAACAAAGCCAGAACTAAAACCAGGACTAAACCAGAACTAAAACCAGAACTTAAAGCCAGAACTAAAACCAAACTAAAAAAATCCATTTCATAAACCAGTCTAAACCAGTTCATAAACCAGCTCTTAAACCAGGACTAAACCAGGTCTAAACCATCTCCTCCCATATGCTGTGTGGGCTGTACCTGCTTCGATACGCCACTGGTCCTTGAAAATATTGTCCTGAAAAGAGCCCCAACCCCCTTCCCGGTCCGTGAAATACTATAAATACTGTCGGGCATAAAACCGGTTCGTGGCCCAAAAAAGTTTGGGGACCGCTGCTATATAATACAGTACAGCACTTTGGTCGACTCTATGTTTGCATAAGAAGACCCTATACAGTCCCAACATGGCCGCCGGGGCTGGATGTCAGATACTGTTTATATTACCGTATGTATATCACTCTAGATGTCTCTGTGAGTGAGTGTAGGCTGCGGCGAGTTCAAGGGGAGTTTTCTGGTCAAATGGATCAGTTACAGACTTAGGCTCAAACTACTGTTACACCAGGGCAGACTATAGGCGTACTACGAGAGGCAGGGTGTCCACCGAGATACTCCACCGAGAGATTAAAGACACTATTAGAATCAGCGACAAGACGAGCAGGAGTCACTGGGTTTATACCAGTAACGGGAGCAGTCTATTGTATCTTGATCAGCAGTTTGGGCACGTTTACGATCAGATCTGGAGGTGTCGGTGCCTCATTTGCATGCTGGTGATGTGTCCTTGGGCAATACCCTTCACTCACTCTTCCTGTGTGAATGATTTAAGGAGGATTTGGAGAGGCTAGAGGAGCAAAATGTCAGCCGCGGAACTGTCCTTGAGCTTTGAGGAGCACATAACAACACAGATGTTTTCTCTTTACATTGCATTATTCAGTCACTCCACATCTGCTGGTGGTAAAATAGTTCTGTATCCACAAGTGCCCTGGGGTAGATAGACCGAGGCAAGGCTGAATACATTCTGAAAGCTCATTCAGGATACGGGCGGGAGCAGGTGGAATGATAAACTGCAGTCCTGCAAACTAAATATGAGTGTAAAGTAAAATATACAAATGATAAATGTATACCTATCATACTTAATTTGTGCTGGATATTTTATTTGGCATTAATAAAAACATTTTAAGCAGCCTAAACTTGCAGATGTGGTCTAATCTCACGCACATTTTAGACAATTCCATTCCGCTTCTCCGTGTTTGATAGAGCTTAAGAAAGTGAACGTGTGGGACTTGCGGGTGGAAGCGGGACAAAATATCGCAGATGCAGGCAGAAGCGGAACTGAAAATTACAATTCTTTGCGGGAGCGAGTGGGACTGAAAATTCTGTCCCGCTCAAACCTCTAGTCTAACGGTACATGTATTCATCAAAGCATTTCAGTTCGGGATGTTCGGTTTTGGTGCAGAACTGTACACGAGTGAGTTCTCTCAATTTGTGTGTGTTTACATTCCGCCGCTACATGTGCAGCTACACGAAAGGCTCAGATCTTTAATATTCACGTGTAAACTCGTCTGTGATTGGGATGGCGGTGTTTCCCACAGCGCTTTGTAATTAGGGCAGCCGCCTTGACAACAATTGCCCCCCACCTTGACTACGTCCCTCCAAACCACAAAGAATATATCGATATATCAATACAGCAGCCCACGATATCGATACTGTATCATCACATTAAACGATACAATATACCAATATTTTGATATTTTTGTACACCCCTAGTAACAATACTGCAATGACAACAAAAATATAAAATAAAATAAATAATGCTAAATTAAAACTACACCTGCTTTTTGGTACATTTTACCACACTTCAATCCTAAGATCTTTGACAATCCAACAGAAATGTGCTAGAAAATGCATTTAAATGTATTTGTGGGGTTTAAAATTTGTAAGGATGGAAAAATTACTCATAATAGTGCAGAAATATTCCTTTATATATTATATGATTACAACATTGTACAAGCTTGTACCATCTTTATTTTTATTTAGCTCTTTTAGCAAATATTTCATTTTTTTAATTATAAATGATACAGTAAACCCAGTATTCAAAGTTGTCAGATTTTCAAAAGACCATTCATGGATTAAGAGATTAAATAAACTGTAATAAGATGAACTAATAAGGTAATTTGAATTCTCTTCTTCACAGGTTGAGTCCAGAGATTTTCCTGAAGAGGCCCGTCGTCGAGGGCAACCGCTGGCGCCTGGACTGTATCCTCAGACGGAAAGCTGTGAGTTTCATCTCATTTACCCATTCAAAGTTGTATTTAGAATTTAGATTTATGCATTTTTCTGTAATCTTTATCCTTCATACTATTGCTCAGAAAATTCCAGTTTTGTTCTACATTTTGTTGAGATGATCTTACTAAAATCGGCACCACAGTTTTCAGTTTCAATGCAAAAAATGTGGTGTAAAATGTCTAAAATACAACATAGCATCATAAATTATAAGTATATAGCGGATAATATGTGTTCAGCTAATGCAAATTTAAAGTAAATGTAAATATTATGATAGATAAACTATATACACTCTCTCTCTACAGCAACAAGGAGTGAAGATCTTCGTGATGTTGTACAAAGAGGTGGAGATGGCTCTGGGCATAAACTCACAGTACAGTAAAAGGACTCTCGTGAGGCTCCATCCAAACATCAAGGTGAGTCTGTACCTGTGTGTCTACGGTCTTATACAAGTCTTTTCAGTAAAGAAGAAAAACAAAAAAACCATATCACTTAGTTTAAACATCCTATATTATGCTAAATTAACTATTCTGAGCTTTTAGCCATGTTATAATGTTGTTATCTCCTCAAAAACAGACCTGGAGTTGTGTTTTGTTTCATTATTATTAGTCTGTCTACATCTCCAACGCTCAAAATGCTCTGTTGCACCTTGTGATGTCATGAAGCGGTAGTTTTCAAGTTAACAGCTCCTTTTACCTTATGTTCAGTAGAGATTGGAAGTTTGAGGGCTGAAATCATCCAAATGATTCTAGTGAAGGTGTATGGAGTGTAAAAACACAACGGAGCACCCCCTGTATTATCACGTGACATCACAAGGTGGGACAGAGTGTTTTCCATTTGAGAGAAGAGTATGCGTTTGTGTGAATGAACCAAACACAACTCCAGGTATGTTTTTGATGTGGAAAAATAGTGTAATATGGGCTTATATGGTGTCTTAAAAAGTCTTAAAAGCATTGAATTTATGAATTTGGAAATAATACCTTAAAACACTTGAAAAAGTCTTGAATTTTTATATCTGGCTCTTAAAATTTGTGCAGTATGTAACTTCTCCATATTGCATTTCTCCTCAAAAGGTTAATTTGTCAACCACCGTTATCTGGTTAAATAACGTAGACTAAATAAAGAGCGGAGGAACCAATTATAATCCAAAAATGCAACGCAACCCTGGCTCAGAATCCTCCAAAGTCCGAAGACGTCACTGAAGATCACGCGCTACAGCACCACAAGCAACAAGCTCAGCAGAAGCACGTAAAATCAAAAACAATCTCTGACATTCTGGTTTTACGTTACCGAACGACACATTTCATGCTGGAGTTATGGGGAAGAGTCTCTCTACTCCCCAAATTCTCAGCGTGGAATAAGTAGCGACCTAATGTAACCAATGTTACAACTTAACAGCATTAATCAAACTTTGTGTTCTGCTGAGATTTTTTTATTTTATTTTACGAGCTTCTGCTTGAGTTTGTTGCTTGTGGTGCTGAAGCGCGTGATCTTCAGTGGCGTGTTCGAAGTATTTTGACTCGAGGCTGCGTTGGGTTCTTAACAATTTAGTAAAATATACCAAAAAATACTCTTGGCGATAGATCGATACAGCAGCCCATGATATTGATACTGAATCATCACATTAAACGATACAATATACCGATATTTCGATATTTTTGCACACCGCTAGTAACAGTTTTACAATGACAACAAAAATATCAAATAAAATAAATCAAACTAAATCAAAACGACACCTGGTTTTTGGTCCATTTTACCACAGGGCAATCCTAAAATATTTGACAATATAACAGAAATGTGCTAAAAAATGTGTTTAAATGTATTTGTTGGGGTTTAAAATTTGTAAGGACTGTAAAAAATACTCATATTAGTGCAGAAATATTCCACAACTTAACAGTGTAAAGGCCGCCACACACTACATGATTTTTTGGTCTTAAACGATTTCTAAATGTGCAACTAAAAGCACACATCACAGATTTCTGGGCAGGTAATAGGCCGTGAAATGAAGGTATTACGTTTTTATGTAAATGGTCTTAAAAAGGCTTAAATTTAACTTGAAGGAACTTGAAGAAACACTGACTTGCTCTTGGTGGTTCTTTGCTTGATTTCATACTCGTGGTCAGATTTCCAAACATGGATCTCTGCTTCAAATTAGCCGTTATATCTGCCGGCCTCGATTGACTTCATTGGACTGAAGCCAAACGCTGTGGGTGACGTCACGCTCGCTCAGTCCACTTCTTTATACAGTCTGTGATTCACACCAGCGTACACAGACTCCAGGCAGTTTCCTTTTATGTCCCGTGAAATGGAGCAAACGGGGACCGGCCACCGCTCTGTTCCAAAAGTAAACTTCCCATTATTTTTTCCCAGAGACTTTAAGAAAAATAAATAATTGAAAGCTTGCTCAGGGCTGATCAGCTATGTGGTAACTAAACCAGAATAACTAGAATTTTATTTAAAATCTGTCTCTGAAACTTTATAAACTATGAAAATATGTCACCAAATACATTTTTTCAAGGATCTGAAGTTGTGTTTTGTTTCATTCACACATGTTTGAGTAATTACTTATTATTTGCCTGTCTTCAGTACATCTTTACTGATTCTTACGCTGTTTGAGCGAAGAACTCAGCCTAAATATGCAGGATTTGTGTGTTAATGGAACAAAACACAACTCCAGGTCTGTTTGTGATGAGAAAACAACATTATAACATCAGAAAATAGTGTCATATGGTCCCTTTAACTCACATTGTTTACGTTTGGCTTGAACAAAAAAGGCTGGTGAGTGGGAAAAAAATCTCAAGAGGATAATTTTCCACATTCATGCAGAATCGTGTCTCATCCTTGATCAAGACTCATACCAAGGGCGTAGGTTTGCACAGGGACGGTTGGGACATGTCACAACCAATATTTGGGGAAGAAAAAATAGTCCTACCAGTATTTGCCATTTTATTTTAATAAACAAAAATAAACAAACATATTAATTTATTCAGAAATGTTTCCAAACTCAATAGTATTAATTTAACACGTTTTAGTTCAGATTTTGTTTATTAGACATTCTGAGATGTGTTCAGTGATATGTCGACAGGGTTACTCCTGCCACTATTTCACTGGCTGTAACAGAGTGATGTCATTAGTGATGTCATTAGTGGAGCCAGGAGCCTAAACTGGGGAAGCGACAGGACAGGACCGCACCTGAAGATGTCGACTTGAGCAGGCGTGAGTGAAGACGCTGCACCAAACTTTGAAAAACTTTTCAAAAGGAACTTACTTGGCTTCATCTTCAATTTAAACTTGTCTTACAATGAGTCACCGTGGAAAAAGAGCGACTATCACCACAAGTGCACCTCCCAAACTGAGCCCTACTCCTGCGCTGTGAACAGCTGGACTCTACTGACAATATTCCATGGAAAAATGTTTGGACATGACCACACAAATATCTCATCACCAACAACGACGGGAAATCTGCTACAAACTTCTACATCGCTGTTATCTCTAAAGAATCATCAAAGTTCAAGGTTCTTTATTTGTCATTCAAACATGCGAGAGAAACACATGACAGAACGAAATGTGCTCCCCGAGGCCAAGTGATCCAGAAAGAGATAAAAAAAACAATAATAAATAAGCAATGTTAAAACATAAATACATTTAAAACAACAACATTTAGCAGTCCAGTGAACAAGTAGTAAAACGTGGCAAAATAGAGAGAGGCAACCCAAGCAGGAAGTCAGTGTGCACAGTTCACAAGTCTGACAGCCTCAGGAAAGAAGCTGAACTTCAGCCGAGAAGTTCTAGCTTTAATGCTCCTCAGTCTCTTCCCAGAGGGCAGAGGAACAATCTTAGAAGGACAATGGACACAAACTGAAAAAATAAACCACCTCTCACTTATTTTGGACCTGCCCAGACTCTTTGTGTTTTTGGAAATAATTCATAAAACATATGAGGGTGTTTGCTGATAATGTCTCTACCAAAGCTGACCAAAAATTACACCCTTGACTCATACTTCCATTGTTTTTGTGTTTCCAGGTGATCAGACACCCAGACCACGTCTCCTCGGCCGTGTACCTCTGGGCTCATCATGAGAAGATCATCGTGATAGACCAGTCTGTGGCCTTCGTGGGGGGCATAGATTTGGCGTACGGGCGCTGGGACGACACCGAGCACAGACTCACTGATGTGGGCAGCGTCACCCTCTCGCACATAGACCAGGTCAGTGCCGTAAGACCGTGATCCTGGTTTAGTTCTGGGTTAGATCTCAAGAATTTCTTCATTTATATTTATGTTAAAGCATCTGCTACCTGCTTTTCTCCTTGGAAATCACATTGCTTTGTGTAAATCAGGGGTGGGCAATTATTTTTTCTATGGGGCCACATGAGAAACAGAAAATATTGTGGCCGGGCCAAAATACTAAACTCAATTCTGCATAATATTAATTGTATATCTTTATAAAAAGCGGTAAAAAGCATTGTTTTGATGAGCTGGTAAGACTGGAAAGTGTTTATGTTCTGATTAAGCAATAAAAAAGTGAGTCTGTCATTAAAAAAACACCTCTAAAATAAAAGCAATGCATCTTTAGTTCATGCATGAGGTCAAATTATAACATATATTTATTCTGTAATTCCAAATGATCTTAAACGGGCCAGTCCAAGCCAAGGCCCCAGAGCTGTACAATCCCCAGGTTTGGTTGAGCGCTTTTGTTTATTCAGTTACAGGTGTTTTTACTGGTTAAAGCCTCACCATGTAACTCTTTAATAAAAACAGAAATAAAATAAAAGCTTGAATGTTTTTATTGCACTGAAAAATGTAGAAAAGCACGCATCCTTGCTCAGAGCGTGCTTGCTTCTCCACAAACCTGACTAGTATTTGGCCTCCTCCTGCTCTTTGTTCTGAAGTGTGGTATTAATGGCGCATCCATTTATCCTTACAACTCGGAGGTCTGAGGACGTTGCCTGGCGACACGCACTGACACGTCCCTTTTCCCCCGACGGTGCAACTCGGAACTGGGAACAACTCGGAAGAGACGGTGCAAAGTTTCCGAGATAGAATCCAAGATGGCTGCACCAGTGTCATTTGTAGTGTGAAGTGTTTTTATTGTGTTTGGAGCTTTGGTGGTTTAAATGACAATTTCAGTCACTAGTTTTACTGCAAAACTGTATTACTGCATCTGTATAGGCGAGTTTCAGCTGACGTCATTGTTATTAAAAGCCCGCGTTGCATGCTGGGAAATATTTTGGTCGGAGGCAAGAAACACGATAGCGTCAAACACAGTGCGTAACCTCGCGTATTTATCCCCGATAATGGTAAATTCCTGCTGCATTATCGGATGCACAAATAGAAGCACGGAAGAAGCAAAATGTCTTTTTCGTATTCTGAGTGAAAAGAACCGCTAACGGTGAATTAAACGGCTTTCAAACATCCGCAGAGCAAACGTAGAAGATCCTAACAAACCGTGGACTCCAACAAGTTCAACAACACATCGAGACTCTTGGAGGTTTTCATCTTTTCTGCTGTGAATGGCCCAGGAGTTTCCACCAAGTCATTGTGGATATCGCCGCAAGTGAATATTTGTCCAGGTAGTTGGCGATTCTGACCAGAAATTTGGTTTGGTCCACCTTTTGTCGGGGTTGAAAAGGGTGATTTGGCTCCATCGATGCTTATGACCAATTTCTGGTCAAATTGTCTTGGGTCCTCTGCCGTTAGAGTGGATAAATAACCGGGATCAATACCCTTTACGTGCTTTCTCGCTCCGTCCATCATGTTGAATTAGTGTTTATTGCCGCCGACCAAAATAATTCCCAGCATGCAACGCGCGCTTTTGTCAACAATGAAACTCGCCTATTACTGCCTGTTGTCTACTGCTTAAAGTTTTAGCCCATTTCCTGCTCGGTAACGTGCCAAAATGATCGACTATCACGTGACACCAACACTTTGACTTCACTAATTATACTGAATTATATTATTTATACTGAATTCTTCCTCGAGGTTGTGTAGTTGAAGCACAGACTTCTTTTGGAGCGCCTGGTAGTCAGTTCTAAAGCAACAACAGATTTACGGTTGGCATCCTTTTTTTTTTTCTCCAATTCGGACAGACTAAACATAATAAAATGGTTGAAGTGTTGACGTGATGTCATATCCAAGATCCGAGTGGCACAAGGACACAGCAGAACTTTCTATTTCCATGGAATGCTGCAGGTGACTTATGATGTTACCCAGACACGACCCGTAACTTGGCCTTGTGGTGTCACTTAATAAGTTTAATGCTAGACTGTGGAACATTTCAAAACAATATCATAATTAAACTCATCACAAACCAAATCATTATGGAATCTCTATAGGCTGTAGAATACGGTTTACAGTGATTCACAAGCTATATAAATGTACTGGAAGGGCATCTGGCTTAAACCTGTTACTCCTGTGTTGTATTCAGTCTGGCCTTGCTCTGTGTTTCCCTCCAGGCTGCGGCGGCGACTGCTCTTTCGTCCACGGGAGACGCCGCGGCTCACAGTAACGGCAGAGGGATCTTCACGGTGGACTCGGCGGACCAGCCCAAACTGAAGGGACAGGGGAGACACCGAAGAACCCGCTTCAGCATCAGGAAACATCTGCAGAAACACGGATTCACCCACAGAGACCGAGACAGCGACAGCGACACGGACTCAGACGTAGAGCCAGAGAGTGAGTTTTACAAAATACACACTTAAGACCATGTTTAGTCCTGGTTTAGTCTTGGTTTACTCCTGGTTTAGTCCTGGGTTTGTTCATGTTCAGCATCTGCAGAAACATTCACAGACAGCAACTCACCGTCTAAGTTAGACCATGTTTAGTCCATTCTGTCCTGGTCTAGTCCTGGTCTAGTCCTGGGTTAGTTCTCCTTTAATACTAGGCTGGCCATTCTTAGTTTAGTCCTGGTTTCGGTCTGGTTTAGTCCTGGATAGCCCTGGTTTAGCTCGAGTTTAGTCCTGTTTGAGCGCTGGTTTAGTCTTGTGTTAGCCCTGGGTTTGACCTAGTTTAGACCTGGTTTAGACCTGGTTTAGAAGTGGTTTAGTCCTGGGTTAGTCCTGGACTAGTTCTGGTTCAGCATCTACAGAAACACAGATTCACTCACAAAGACGGTGATAGGGATTTAGTAAATTAGACTACATTTAGTCCTAGTTTAGTCTTGGGTTAGTCCTGGGTTTGTTCTCCTTTAGTACTGGCCTTTCCCAGTTTAGTCCTGGTTTAGTTTCAGGTTTAATCTTGGCCAGTCTTGGTTTATCTCTGGTTTAGTCCTGGTTTAGTCCTAGTTTAGCTCTGGTTTAGTTCTGGAATAGTTTGTGTTAGTCTTGGTTTAGTTCTGGTTTAGGCTAGGATTAGTCCTGGGTTAGTTCTCCTTTAGTACTGGACTAGCCATTGCTAGTTTAGTCCTTATTTAGTTCTGGTTTAGTCCTGGACAGTCCTGGTTTTGCTCTACTTTAGATCTGGTTTAGTCTTGGTTTAGACCTGATTTAGACCTGGTTTATTCTGAGTTTAGACCTGGTTTAGTCTTGGTTGAGTCTTGGTTTAGACCTGGTTTAGACCTGGTTTAATCTTGGTTTAGACCTGGTTTAATCCTGATTTAGACCTGGTTTAGTCCTGGTTTAGACCTGGTTTTGTTGAGATATCCCTGCCTGCAGTGGTGGTGGAGTGAAATGTGTTCAGATAGTTTCTCTTGCTCAGAATAATTCTTGTTTCTGTATAAATTCTGATGAGAAATTGTCTGCTTTGCGTAAAATGTTAATGCATGGATGATAAACACTGACATGCTTTTTCATTTTGTGTATTTTAGGGAGTAACTCGGTACGGAGTCTTCAGACAGGAGTTGGAGAGCTGTTTGGAAACACCAGATTTTGGCACGGAAAAGATTACTGCAACTTCGTCTACAAAGACTGGATCCAACTGGACAAGCCCTTTGACGGTAACGTTCAAGGACACTGGGAAATATGTAGACAGCTTTTCAGACCAGAGACCAGAGCAGCTACAAGGTCTCCTCCAGTTCTTACAGTTTTTATATGTATTTTTTGTACTTATTTAGACACAAATGTATTCCTTTTTTGTCGACCTTAGTGTTAGTTCTCATTTTGTACTATTTTAGCTTGTTTTATCAAATTACCCATTTTATTTCTGGCGGTAACTCATAAAATCCGCAAATTCTTAAGGCTATGTTTACACTGAAACGAATCACCGAATCACCGTATCGGAAACGATCTGCGTTCAGACACGTCGTTTCTGTGTCCGCAAGTCTTCCCTATCCACACAGCTTTGAGCATATTTGTTTACGTTTTACAGAAACTAAACTTAAAACCGCATGACTAATTTGCATAAACTGAGCGCTCAAAAAAACAGCTCGTTATTGTGCGCTGATGTGGTTCAGCTTCTGTCGGACTAAAGGACACGACTCAGTGGAATATGAGTGTTCTTTCTGTGACAGAGGGGTGTTCTGCTGATGGTGAGTCTGTTCTGTGCTTCTATCGTGTTGGAGATGGTTCATGTTAAACTTTTCAGAGATTATACGTCTGCAGGTCGTACACACAGACCGTATATATGAATGGACATATATTCTAGCCTCCTAGAGTTTTGGCGGTGAATTACTTTGCGGCACACAGACCTACATCAGCGTATCAGCGTTTTCAGGCGTCCACACAGTGTCGGATCAGATCTGTACTCAGATGAATTCGTGGGAGCTGGTGGCACCAGATCGTTCCGTCTCTGTAGCCGTTTTTTTTTTTGTCACAGGTATATTTTGACATTAATTCACAGATTTCAATCACATTTCAATCAGGATTAGTGTGGACGAACACTGCATCCACAACGAAAATGACTCAAATACGTACTAGTGTGGACTGGGCCTTACTTACATCCCTGCATTGAGAAATACTGTGTTTGTATAAAGAATGACAGGTTGATTTGTGTTTCCATGGTTACCTGCAGACTTTATTGACAGACACACGACTCCCAGAATGCCGTGGCACGACATCGCGTCTGTGGTTCACGGGAAAGCGGCGCGAGACGTGGCCCGACATTTTATCCAACGCTGGAACTTCACCAAGGTCAGACGTCAACGCTCATGACAGGCTTTCATGTTTTTGTTATGACTTGGTTTGGCGGGATGGGACCTGTGGGAAATAGACGTTTTTCACAACAGAAGTGCCACGCTGATTTGCAAAACTTACGGTTAATGGTTTTCTGTGGCAAAATGTCTGTGGAAATGTCTCGCATATTCTCCACCAGCTTCATAAATCTGCCCCATCTCCACATTTTCAACCAACAAGGTCAACTATCGAGGTAAGAAAGACGAAAACTTAAAGGTGAACAACGAGTAGAATTAGAGAACTACTGAGCAAAACTAACGTCATGGTAATAGATAAAACAGAAGCAACTCATTCACTCAGTTTGATTCTACAATTAAAATTAAAAAAATGATTTCATGAAGTTGATATTAGCATAAATTGATGGATTTGTGTAGTTCGAATGCGAGACATCTCTAGTAGGTGTGTGCAAAAATACCGAAATATCGATATATTGTGTTGTTTAATGTCAATATCATGGGCTGCTGTATCGATATATCACCAAGAGTATTTTTTGGTGTATTTTACTAAATTATTTGGTTACAGTTTTGTTGCTTGTTTAGAGGAAGAAAACTCAACAAATTTGACATTTTCACTGTTTTGATGATTAAGATGTTTGTGTTTCATATGAATTTTGCGCAAGAAGTGTTTTAACAAAGACTTTTAGTATCACAGCAATGATTTAGCCTTTATTTTTTATTGAACCGTATCAAATCGATTTGAAATATATCGTATCAACCCGAAAGTGCACTGTATTTAGATATGTATCATACTTGCAAATTCTTAATGATACGCAGCCCTAATCTCTATAGGCTGACCAGATTTTCAAAATAAAAAACTGGGACCTCTCTGGTTTATGTTGGTTGGTAATAATAAAATTGTGAAACGAGTGAGTAATTACTAAGGAAAATTGTTATGCACTCAGTATTAATGTGAGTCAGTATAGTCACATTTTCTTTGTGTTTTGGTCATTTTTAAGCAGCTTTTTTATTTAACTAAACAAATGACCAGTGTGTGCTTCTCTTTACTGTTGGCAGATTTTAGACTGGTCAAAAATAGGGACACCTGGGACATTTCTTGTATGAAACTGAACAAATCAGTGGTTTTGGATGAATCTGCTGGGACAGGGGACACTCAAAACTCAAAACTGGGACTGTCCCGGGTAAATACAGACGTCTGGTTATCGTACATCTCTTGCATAATATTAGTTTTGCTCAGTTGTTCACTAATAGTAGTCGCTCGCCTTTACGTTTTCGTCTTTCTTACCTTGATAGTTGTGGATAAATTCTTGATGGAAGAATATTTATCTTTTGTCGACCTTGTTGGTTGAAGATTTGGTGATGGGGCAGATTTATGAAGCTGGTGGAGAATACGCGAGACATTTCCACAGATATTTTGTGATAGAAAACCATTAACCGGAATTTCCACAAACCTATAGCGGGGCACTTCTGGCCGTTGATGTCCCATAGTTTTTGGAAGTTTGTGAAGAACAGTTTGAAAAGTACAAAACAAAAATAAGTAGCACTGGGTTTTAAAATGGAATCCCTGTATCTTTTTAACATCAACACAAAAAAATCCATCCAAAATGCAGGGTCAATTTACACACAAGACACTTTTTTTGGTAATTTAAACGCTGAAGGTTCATGTCATTTATTTTATTAGTCTAATCATAATTGTTGTGTGAGTAAGTGTTTTAAAAATGACGTGTTAACTGACTGTAACTGTATTTTTTTGTTTTGTTTTTCAGTTGGTGAAGCCTAAGTACAGGTCGTATCCGTGTTTGCTTCCAAAGTCGCATGTGACGGCGGGAGAACTGCGCTACCAGGTCCCCAACTGTGTGAACGCCAAAGTGCAGGTCATTTGAGTTTCATAATCACTCTGGGGGGAAAAAAAACATTGTGATTTTCTATATTACATCTTCTGAATTGTCAAAATGTCGCCAGAATGTCCTCAAAGTCCTTAAAATGTCGCCTGTATTCGGAAACGGAAACCTTTGAAAACTGTGGACAGAATTGATTAAATGATATGTGCGTAGACTTGGTTTGGTCCAGTTCTTGTCCTGGTTTAGTCCTAGGTTTAGTCCATGGTTAGTCCATTTTAAGTTATTTCAGTTTTACAATCCTATGAGAGGAAAAATGTATATCTTTTATTCAATATTTTGAGTGGTCATGATCCTCAAAATGTCGTCCATTACATGAAATGAAACCCTTGAATATTGTGGACAAACTTTATTAAATTAATGTGCTCTGATTTGTCCTGGTTTGGTTTAGTCTAGACTTGGTTTGGTCCTGTTCTAGTCCTGGTTTAGTACTAGGTCTAATCCACATTAAGCTCAAAGTTTAGTCCCAATTTTGATTAAGTGTATGCTAATATGTAAAAAAAATATAAAATTAAAAAAGGAAAAAAATGCATAGCACACTCAGATGGCCGATGTCCAAAAGCTTTTTTTATTTACAAAATACCGTTTCGGCAAAAAAGTCTTCATCAGATATTTTTTTTGCTTTGGACCACAGCAAGAAAAATATCTGATGAAGGCTTTTTTTGCCAAAACGGTAAAAGCTTTTGGACATCAGCCATCTGAGTGTGCTATGCATTTTTTCACTTTTGTCTTGCTGCTCCTTGCATTTGCGCCTCTACAAGAATTTTGGTGTATGTTTTCTGTTTCTTTTGAAAAAATATAAAATTAACACGAATAAGACTAAACTTGTATGTTTTGTCTCAGATCCTGCGGTCGGCTGCAGACTGGTCGGCTGGAATCAAATATCACGAAGAGTCGATCCATAACGCCTACGTCCACACCATCAAGAACAGCCAACACTTCGTCTACGTCGAGGTAAAGATCAGATACTGTTTTTTCTGGTTTGTGGAAATATAATGGACATTTATCTTACGCAATTTTATGTTTTGTAATCCAACAATATGTGATTTTTTTTTTTTTTAACCAAACTCCTCATTTACTTTAGTCCACCTTCTCTTCTTTGTTATATTTTTAGAACCAGTTCTTCATCAGCTGTGCAGACAACAGACACGTGTTCAACAAAATCGGAGACGCCATCGCCGAGCGCATCATCAAAGCTTACAGGTAACCACAGAGATCACAGATAACCGTAGATATCACAGTAGTTAAGACTGCAGTGGGCGCTACATTGCAAAAATAAAACAGTCACTTCACAAGAGGATGTACCAACACAGACGAGAGAGCAACACAGGACCTCAGTCTGCTGTGCATCTCCACCACTACTTTGAGGACAGTGAGGTACAGATCGTTAGTCAGGCTGGTGCCACCTAGTGCCTCCGCTCAATTTCATTTCTCTCCAGTGACTAGGTCAGGAATTAGAATACACTAGACGGTTTCAAGAACCCCGGAAGTTGTAGAAGAAGTCGCGCACTGGCCAATCAGTGAAGAGCTGTGAAGCCATGACGTCAAACTCAAGTGCCTGTCTGGGTTCCTTTTTGTGGAACAGCACAACAGTAAACAAAGCGTCGAGATGGATGTTGATGAAGACAGACATTCTGTGTTGGCAACGATTTCCAAGATCGAGGATTTAAAGCCGGAACAAAGAGAATGTTTGGTGAATTTTATCAAAGGAAAAGATGTTATTGCCCTTCTTCCTACAGGATCTGGCGCATTACATACATCACGACCAAACAGCAGCGATTGGTTAAATTTAAAAAGTACCCTCCTACTGTCGAGCGAACAAATCCTAATGCTGCGAGGTCAGACGGTTTCCACGAAGTGAAACCAGCTGATGAAACAGACTAACAGATCGTAGCCAGAGAAAAGAATTGGTTTGAGAGGGGAGTCAAAGAGTCTATTTTTGTTAATAAAGAGGTTCAGACGTGATTTGTCGCCTATTTACAACTACATCTTCAAACCTAAATCAAAACAAGCAAAGAGAACAATATGGATAGCCAGGCCAGGCCCAGAAGTGTGAAAGCTCCATTATGGCCCTGAATGATTCTGTTAATATGACCAAACACTCAAGTTCAATAGGCCTAACTAAAAGAAACTGTTAACAAGTAGGTGTGTTAGTTTCAGAGTAGTTTCAGTGTAGTTAGCTCCTCCCTTCAGGCAGATATAAGGAATTGTCCACCAGCGTCTAACCAGAACTGAAGAAGCAGCTTGGATGAGATAAACTTTTGTCCAGTTGACACATTTAATTTCTCCTTTTGCCGAGGAGATCACAGGTAACAGGTCATCTTAAGTCAGTGTTTTGTGAGTGTTTATTTTGCTCCATAATGAACAGCAAATATTGAAATAACTGAGTCTAAACAGTGGCTCATGACCGTGTGCTTCAAGATGATCACAAGTGTACACAAACTGATGTCACTGTCTGTTTCACACAAAGACAAAACAACAGAAGAGGTGCCATCATAAGATTAGACGTTCATGTTTTATTCTTGTTTTTAAAGGTGCACTGTGTAACTTTTCTGTTGGACGGTCCGTACCTGCTTCATTCCAATCCAATTTATTTATATAGCACATTTCATGAACAAAACCGTTTCCAAACTGCACAATACATAAAAAAAATACTGTGGAAATGTAAAATAAAACTCTATTTAACTCCGCTTGTTCTTGTTAAGACAATACAACTAGTAAAATCAAATGAGACAAAAAATACCAATGAATAAAAAGATAAAACCATAAAAATAAATAAAAGAAACTGAGCGCCACGCAACTCTCAAGGTGTTAAAAACGAGAGAATAAAAGTGGATCTTAAGGCTCGTCTTTTGTCTTTTGCATGTTCCACACTATGACATTATGACTTATCTCTCTGGAATATGGATATAATATTGTAGAAATGTTATTTACTGTATCTATTTTGTTCTGTAGTTCACACGCGTTAAACGAAATATAAATAATGATTGTCTTATCGCAGAGAAAAGAAGAAATACCGCGTTTACATCGTGACTCCTCTGCTTCCCGGATTTGAGGGCGACATCAGCACCGGAGGAGGAAGCGCCATCCAGGCCATCATGCACTTCAACTACAGGTCTGTGTTTGAAATAATAACAATAATCATACATTTTATTTATATATCGCTTTCCTAAACACTCAAAGAAAGAATACAATTAAAAAGTACATCTAAAAAAAACAAGGTAATCAGACAAAATATACTGTAGGTATGATTTAAAAGCAGTTCAAACTAGGGATGGGCATGATTAGATCATTAAGAATTTCATTGATTACATTGATTTTAATCGACAAACCGAATGCAGGTTGCTGTGCGTATCGTGACCAAACGGAGGTCCGTACATGTGTCTCTCTGCACTCAGAAGGAGCGAGACACAAACAGTCGGTCAGTCTGCAACGTACCGAAGCACAAATGTGTATTTAACGATGATTTGTACAAGAAATTCCACGCTTTCCGTTGCGTTCGGGACAAGTGTGAGTCCATGTGCACAGTGTATAGTGGGAAAAAGTTTTGTCCAGGTGAGAGTCGCGCAGTGTCGATGACGAGTCCCCACCTCCCTCCCCCCGTACGGTGTCCCGGGTTTGACAAACACAAATCTGGTCACACTAACCTGTATTCCACTGAGTCATGTCTTTTAATCCGACAGAAATTGACCACATCAGCGACACAAGAGCTGTAGTTTTATCTTCACTGAGTTTATGCAAATTAGCGATGCAGTTTTAAGTTTCATTTCTGTGAGAGTTGCGCAAAACTGAATTAAACACATTATAATGTCAAACGGGCTGATGTGGCTCTAGAGTCGTTACGGTTTATATGTCGTAAAGTTGAATTTATTTATGCAGATTAGTAGTGCAGATAGTAATAATAATGATGATCATTTTAATATAAAAACGTTAATGATTAATCGATAATCGATCGTTAATTCTTCCGACGATCGATTAAGAAAATTTCATCGAATGCCCATCCCTAGTTCAAACATTAAAAGCTGTTCTAAATAAAAGAGTTTTGAGCAGTTTCTCAAAATTAAACATATATTTTACCTCCAGAATAGAAGTACAAACTCTCATTTCAATACAGTAACAATTCCACTTTGTTACATAAAGAAATATCTACTTTTTCTTTATCTTTCTGCATTTATTTTAGGTGAAGACACAAATTTGTCTTTGCAAAATAGTTCTTTAAAGTGCTGAATGTTTTATGGTTTTAGAATCCGGTCTGTAATAATTTGTCATCTAAAGTCATAGTTTTGTGTTTACACTTTTGAACTGAACTCCTGTTTGACTCATATCGATACAGGAAGTGCTCAACTTTTATGGAGAACACTCTGCTCCACACTTATCTTGTGTAAATCCGTTTATCTCTGGTTTGAATTGCAGAAATGCCTCTCTCTCTCTCTTTCTGTCTCTCTCCTTCTCTCACTTCACTCTTTCTCTTCCCCTGTTTCCACACACATCTCTCTCTTTCCCTCATTTTTAATTTTTCTCTCTCTGCTTCTTCTTTCTCTGCCTACTCTCACCCTTCCCTTCCTCTTCATCATTTACGTCTCTCCGTCTCTGTCTTTCTGCCTATCTCCCTTTCTCTCTTCTATTCCCCTTTAACTCTTTCTCTTCACTCTCTTTCTCGCCATCTCTCTCTCTCTCACTTTATCACTCACGCACACACAGACTTTTCTCTTCTGTCCTTCATTCCCTCTTCTCTCTGTTTTTCTCTATCAGCTCTCTCTCTCTTTCGACTTATCTCTGTATCCCCATCTCCCTTACACCTCTCCCTCTCACTCCCTCGCTCTCCTCTTCCCTTTCTCTCCTTGCTCCCTCTTTCCTCATCTCCTCTTCTCCTCTATTCCTCTTTCTCTCCTCTTCTCTCACTCAATCTCTCTCCCCTCTTCTCCTCTCTTTCTCTCTCCTCTTCCCTCTCTCTCCTGCTCCCTCTTTCCTCATCTCCTCTCTTTCTCTCTCTCTCTCTTCTCCCTCTCTCCTCTCTTCTCTCCTCTCTCTCTCTTCTCTCTCTCTCTCTCCCTCTCCTCTCTCCTCTTCTCTCTATTCTCTTCTCTCTCCTCTTCTCTCACTCAATCTCTCTCCCCTCTTCTCCTCTCTTTCTCTCTCCTCTTCCCTCTCTCTTGCTCCCTCTCTCCTCATCTCCTCTCCCCTCTTTCTCTTCTCCTCTATTCCTCTCTCCCCTCTTTCTCCCTCTCTCCTCTTCTCCTCCTCCTCTCTCTCCTCTTCCCTCTGTCTCTCCTCATCTCTTCTATTTCTCTCTCTCTCCTCTTCCCTCTCTCTCGCACTCCTCTTCCCTGTGTCTCTCTTGCTCCCTTTCTCCCCCTTTCTTCCGCTTCTCCTGTTCCCTTTCTCTCTCATTCCTCTCTTTCTCTCTCTTTCTCTCCTCTCCTCCTCCTCCTCTCTCCTCTTCCCTCCCTCTTTCTCTCTGTCTCTTGTATCTTTCGTTCCGTTTGTAAACGAGGACCATCCCTCTGCAAACTCTCCACACAGACATGTTCAGTGTAAAAACATGTGATCACACGTCAGTTTCACCTTTGTCATTTTTTTTTTCTTTTCTTTTCTTCAGAACGATGAACAGAGGAGACCACTCTATCATTTCACAGCTGAAGAGAGAGAGTAAGTCCCAAACAGGAAACCACAAATACAAATCTATTCATATTTTACTCTCTAACACTTCCCATATTCTGTGAAGGTTTTGTGTCGTGGTTTGTATCTTGGTTCATATCGTCTTCTTGAGTTCCTCTTGTTTAAGCAATTATTAAATATTTAAACAACAGAAATTAAAAATGCATGGCTCATGACCGAAAGGGTTTAGGCTCAAGTAAAAAGTACTTATAAAGCCAAAAACTATTAAACAACAACAGAATTCCAAGAGCATATGAACAGCAAGTTTGTGTTTACAATTTTACTTGTGACTTACTGTAAATATAAGAGACAAAATATAAATTAAAACAAACAAAATGTAAAGCATAATTCATTCTTTCTAGAGCTCTATATCTTTCTAAACATAACGCTTTATACTGTTTTTTTAAAGGCTTCTACAGTGTTAGACTTTTTTTTTTAAATTATCACTCAGATTGTTCCATAAACTAACCCTTCTAACACAAATACAATCACTTTTTTTCTTAGTTCTTATCTTTATTTTTTTAAAGCCATTTTTTTTCCTTTATGGTCGTACAAACTACCATATTTTTCGGACTATAAGGCGCACCAGCCAAAAAATGTGTAATGAAGAAGAAAAAACATATAATATATAAGTGGCACCGGGCTATAAGTCACACTCTTCAGAGAATCAGAGACCAGGAACCGACATTTCATCTTGAAGGGCAAGTTATAGTAAAAACAATAAAATAAAGAACAGACTGAATAGGCATTAATATGTTAACGTAACATATTAACAATTATTTAGATAACTATAGCATAAACAACATAACATAAGTTTACCAAACTCTCGATCTCACTCCAAATCACTAAATCTGTAGAATCCATTGAATTCTTCATCCTCGGTGTCACTTCTGAGCATCTCCGTGCAACTTGGGCTGTTACTGAAGTCCAGGCTTTGTCAGTCCAACCCAGTTTGTCCAGTGACTTCCAGGAAAGTTGCATGGCGCATTCTTCCCAGTTGCTGTGAATTTGTGTTATCCATTTCCGCTTTCCCCAGTCCTTCACAAGTTTCTCGCTCACTCCAAACTTTCTTTCTGCTGCTCGATTATCGTTTTCTGCTGCATGTTTCACTACTTGCAGCAGGACAGCAGCATTTTCTGCAGGAGACATGCGCAAAAAACTGATACACAATACTAGAGCCTCTCACGGCTGTCAGTCTGAAAATTTTAATATTTAAGTCGCTCCGGAGTATAAGTCACAGGAAACACCCAAACCATGAAAAAAAAATGCGACTTATAGTCCGAAAAATACGGTAATAATAATGTTAACGAAGGCACAGAAGTTTACTGTTTATGATAATACAAAATAAACCAAAATGAAATGTTAATGATAAATGAAAAAATTTAAGTTTTTTTTTTTATTTTTCATTTATGGTCGTACAAACTAATAATCATGATAAAGACGGCACAAAATTTATAGATTTTGATTTATGATCAAAATAAAAGAAAGAAGAAAGTGGTAAAGAAAAGCTTGTTTTTAGTTAATAGTCATGGTTTACTTGTGAAGACAATGTATCTAGTCTTCTAGTTTTTTCTGTAAGATTTGATTTTTATATTGTTTTTTGAAGTTAGTACAAGCTTTGATATCGTCATCTACGCTTCCTCCAGTACACCGCCTCGTATCTTTGCAAAGTACTTTGAAAAGTGCAGTACCAAACCGAGCCACACCTGCAGCTGGTTTCAGACGAACTTCCAGTGAACTATGAAATTACTACCACGGTCAAATCTGATCCATTTTGTGCGTACGGGGCCTGTGTGTGTATCTTGTAATACTGGTGAAACCCCAAGACTATTTTTATAACTTAAAAGGAAAAAATATGACCAATAATCTCGAGTTTCACCCTAATTTATCAAACCCAGGTCTATCTAAACTGCTGTGGAACATCTGGGTCCATGGGTTAGTGGTAATTATATAGTCTTTAATCTGTAAGAAGGAGTTTATTTAGGTTTTCTTAGACGTATAATTAAGTAATGTCGTCTCAATTTGGCCTTAATGTTTCAAATCAATCACTTTATTGGCTTGTTAGAAATAGTAGTGTTTAAAACCTGGCAACCCTGTAGTTTAGAGCTCGACAAATGTGTTCTGAAAGTCTAATATTAGTTTGGCAGTTCATATTTCAGTCTTCTCTCGTCAGAAAAGCTGCATAGTGCATCTTTAAAGGTCCTATATATTACACAACATTGACTTTTGGGAGCTTTAATCCTAAAAAACAGACCTGGAGTTGTGTTTTGTTTCATTCACACGTGTTTGAGTAACTTTTATTATTAGTCAGTCTATATCTCTGAAGCTCAAAACGCTCTGTTCCACCTTGTGATGTCATGAAGCGGTAGTTAACTAGTTAAGTTAACAGCTCCTTTTATTTTCACGGTATGAAGCTCACGGTATGATATTTATTGCGATATCATGGGAGGCTCACGATTAGGGATGTAACAATATCCAAATCTCTCGGTACGATATTTTCACGATCACTGTTTGGCAAGTTACTTCAAAACTGTAATGTGTTATTATTTATGACTTGTTACTGTCATTTCAAAGTAATTTGTTACATTACAGTATTAAAGTGTTTAAAATGTAAAACATTATTCGAATATTGCGGCACTTTAAATTACTCTCACCAAAATAACTGTCGCTGATCGTCAAATAACAATCAGTGAAGATGCCGAACTTTTGCGCTGTATTCTGACTGAACCAGGTCTAAACCAGGACTGAACCAGGACTAAACCAGGTCTGAACCAGGTCTAAACCAGGACTAAACCAGGTCTGAACCAGGTCTAAACCAGGTCTGAACCAGGTCTAAAGGACTAAATCAGGTCTGAACCAGGTCTAAACCAGGTCTGAACCAGGTCTAAACGAGGTCTAAACCAGGACTAAATCAGGTCTAAACCAGGTCTAAACCAGGTCTAAACCAGGACTAACCAGGACTAAACCAGGACTAAACCAGGTCTGAACCAGGTCTAAACCAGGTCTAAACCAGGACTAAATCAGGTCTGAACCAGGTCTAAACCAGGACTAAACAGGTCTGAACCAGGTCTGAAAGGACTCAGGAACCAGGTAAACCAGGTCTGAACCAGGTCTAAACCAGGTCTAAACCAGGACTAAATCAGGTCTAAACCAGGTCTAAACCAGGTCTAAACCAGGACTGAACCAGGACTAAACCAGGACTAAACCAGGTCTGAACCAGGTCTAAACCAGGTCTAAACCAGGACTAAATCAGGTCTGAACCAGGTCTAAACCAGGACTGAACCAGGACTAAACCAGGACTAAACCAGGTAAACCAGGACTAAATCAGGTCTGAACCAGGTCTAAACCAGGTCTAAACCAGGACTAAATCAGGTCTAAACCAGGTCTAAACCAGGACTAAGCCAGGTCTAAACCAGGTCTAAACCTGGACTAAACCTGGACTAAACCTGGACTAAACCAGAAGTAAACCAGGACTAATCTTGGACTAGGACTTGGAATCTAGGACTGTCCCTGAGAGAACAACAAGCCCGTGGATCAGGTGTTCGCAAAGCGCGATCAGGCGTCGGCAGCGTTTAGCCCCGTGGAGTTTGGAGTTCTGCGTCGGTCCTTTCGTCGGTCACCCGACAGTCTACACGGGCACATCTTCGGGCACATCCTGACATTCGGAACCATAACAATGTCGTTTCACCGCTGCTGATATCACAGTGATTTTAGTGATTTGTATGAAGAAAAACGAAAAACCCACCACTTCAGTCCAGGTTAAAAAAGCATTGTGACGCGCTTTACTGACATTTGTACCAAGTAAAATATTAGTTTTTTTTCCCTGTAATGCCGAACATTACTGTGTTATTTTGTGGAGGCTAACAAAACTGTTAATATGCAACTTTTTCTTCTTAAAATGCCTTGACAAGACTTAATCCAAAGAACTAAGACTTAAAAGTGTTTAGAACTGTTATTTCTTCTTGTAGTCTGCACTGAAATGGAGCAAAGGATCATGGTCTATGTAGTTCTGTACCATAACTCTTAATTTAAGCAAAGAGACTTGTAATTCGATATATTGTGATGGTCCACGATATTATTGTGAAAAATTTGATGATACGATATCACAATATTTCAGTTATTGTTACATCCGTACCTTTTATTTACCTTTAGTTCAGTAAAAGTTTGACACTTTGACAACTCCAGGGTTGAAATTATCCAAATGATTCTAGTGAAGGTGTGTGGAATTTAAAAACACAGTGGAGCCCTTCCTGTATCACCACATGACGTCACAAGGTGGTGAAGTGTCCTTGGAAAACTGATGATTTAATGAAAACTTGATTAATTTTACAGCTCTAGTTTGAAGTTTATATAGTCTTAATTAAAGTTTTATTTGTGTGGTTTCAGTGGGAGATAACTGGATGAACTACATTTCCATCGCGGGGCTCAGGACTCACGCCGACCTCGAGGGGAAACTGGTGACGGAGCTCATTTACGTCCACAGCAAAATGCTCATCGCCGACGACAACACGGTCATCATCGGTGAGAGAAAAGACTTAAACTCCGCCCATAACCACATTTCAAGGTGGAGTCTGGAGGTTTAAGAACAGTGTGGTCAAACTGCGCCCCTGCAGCCAGCTGTTTGCATCAGAAACACATCTGGGCTGTAATCAGAGCAGTGTTGTGTGATATCACGTAGTACTTGAAATTACAGTGGTCATTGGAGGCACCACACGGGCTACAAATCTACCTGCTTTGTTCTAAAATTGCCAAAAATGCCTAGGAACAGTAGACAATGCCATTAAAACACTATATATGCAGTTAAGAAGCAAAAAAAGTTGAGAAGTTTCATGTTTTATTTCACTTTTAACTTAATTTTATCTTCACTAATAGAATATTTAGATAATTTAAAAATAGCTGTTTTCAAAATGTGCATAATTAGGATATTAAGAATAATTTTAAAGCTAAAAGAGATTAAATAAAAAACAGGAACTACAGAGAAATCTTACAAAATCTAACCAAAGTCACACAGGCAAGTTGACCAAAGTGTCTTGCCCAAGGACATAATAACACTATGCAAATTTCAAATAAACTTTTTAACTTTAATTTTATTTATCAGAGTAGCCACGGGGTTTTCAGGTCTCAAATTTCATGTTCCTAAATTAAGACCTTAAAAAATCTTAAATTATGTTATCCAAGTCTTATTTTTTTCAAACTTAAATTATTATTTTTTAAATGTAGGGAGGAAAAAAAACAACAATGTGAAATCACATAATCTGAGTGAACGTCTAATTTGGAGTATGCGCAAACAATACCATTATATTATATTATAAATTATTTTTGGACATTTTACAAGCAACACATACGACTATAAATGAGTTCTGAATGAGATTTTATTTAAGATTTTTTTTGTTATTTAAAGCAATGAGTAATGGTCATTATTAGAATTGGATCTGGTGTTTTTCACTCACATAATGGGTGCAGTGTTGCTCTTAATTTTAATTTAGTGGTCTTAAAAAGGTCTTAAAAACTCTTAAATTTGGGGTAGTCAAACCTGGAGATACCCTGTTTATGTATTTATTTATTTATTTGCTTTATTTGTAGTCAGTTGTTTTCAAAGGACATTATTTTTAAATTGATGTTGCACTGCCCCCTACTGGTTCAGTAGTTTGTCATGTTTCTTTTTACTTTTTATTTGTGCTTTTTCAAAATTTTAACAAGCGTACATAAAAGAACAAACAATCTGTGGAGTTCTACAAAAAAAATTCTGAAAAATAAAATATCTGAGCTTTGTAAATAGACCATTTTGACCATCGCTTCTCAAATTTATCAGCTTTCAGTCTCAAATAATAAATTATTTTTTTCCATCCCTTTGATTTCCTCCATTATATCTGTCCATTCCTGTAATTTCAAAGCGTCATCCTTCAGCCAATTCCTCATTTTTACTTTCTTACAAGCCAAGAGCATCACTTTAAACCAATAAAAGTCCTCAGTTCGAATATTGTTTTGTTGGATTTTATGGTCAAATATCTATTCCATTACAGTTGCAATATTTTCCCAAAAGGATTTAATTTTAATACATTTCCAAAACACATGAGAATGATTCACACTGTAGTTTGTAGTTGTTATAGTCTTTTTTTTTTTTACTCTATTTATTAATACTTTCATCAATTATATATTTAATATTGTCAGAAATAGTCCTTCATAGTTTGATAATTAATTTTGTTACATGTGATATTTCATCCTCAGATAATTAATATAGAGAAACTGTTTGAATAAATAGTAATGATGGTCATTTTAAATGGATTATTGGAGTATTTCCTCGTTGTTTCCAGGCTCGGCGAACATAAACGACAGGAGCATGTTGGGTAAACGGGACAGTGAGGTGGCGGTGATCGTGGAGGACTCGGAGACGACGGATTCTGTGATGGACGGAGCGCCGTATCAGGCCGGGAAGTACGCCCTGTCCCTCAGACTGGAGTGCTTCAGGTACAGAGGACAATGTGGGAAAGATACTTTACTTTATTTTACTTTACTTGTTCATAATTAACATGTCAGTAAAATACCATAAAATTATTAGCCATTCGTGTTTTAATGATGGTTTTCTGCTCAAAGTTCACATTTTAAAAGCACTGAGAAGAATACATGCATCACAAATTTCAGACTTCCGGTCATTGCGCAATGGATAGTGGGAAGGATTTTCCAAAAAAGTGAGCATCAAACCATCATGTTTGTTTTCCCAGTGGGATGCGTCTATTGACAAAGTCGATCTTTTCTAGTCTTTTGAACCATATCACTTTTGTTTCTGGTTCTGATATTGTCATATTTTAGCTTTGGGATTCGGACATCGTAATTGTGTGTTTCGAAAAATTAGCTTCAGAAGTTTGCGAACTCTATAAATGCAAAAGTGAATCAGATCTGCGTGACTGCAAACCTCTGTTCTAACTGTTTCTCTTCCCAATGGAATTGAAAAATAGTGAAAGGTGAAGGTGATGGGCAGGATTGATCCACAGGAAAGGACCAAAAAGGAAACCTTTGACTGCCTAAATCATCCCGAGTTTGCAGCGAAAATTTTGTATGTGGAGCGACAACAAAGCAAAATCCTGATCCCTCGCTCAACCTTGGTTACGAATTTAAAAAGTCAACACCAAAGTGAAAGGCACCAACTGTTCTCCAAGAAACACCTTCCACTGCAAAGAGACCAAGACATGATGTTGCTGTAAAACCACAAGAACAAGAAAGTGCATTTGTCTTCTGCACCTCTCGCTTAACAAACGGGATTTTGTTTTGATGGCGCTCCACATACAAAATGTTCGCTGTAAACTCTTAGACAGCCAAAGGTTTCCTTTTTGGTCCTTCCTGTGGATGAATCCTGCCGATCGCCTTCGACTTTCACTATTTTTCAATTCCGTTGGGAAGCGAAACAGTTTGAACAGAGGTTTGCAGTCACACACATCTGATTCCCTTTTGCATTTATGAAATCTGCAAACTTCCAAGGCCCATTTCTCAAGCCGTTTTCTGCTGTTAGGATCCAACAACCACAAAATTACAATGTCCAAATCCCAAAACTAAAATATGACAATATCAGAACCAGAAACAAAAGTGATATGGTTCAAAAGACTTGAAAAGATCGACTTTGTCAATAGATGCATCCCACTGGGAAAACAAACTTAGCGGTTTGATGCTCACTTTTTCAGAAAATCCTTCCCCGTATGTATTGTGCAATGACCGGAAGTCCGAAATTTGTGATGCATGTATTGATAAAAATACTGACAAACTTTTGAGGTGTATTTGGTCGTGGCTTTTTAAAATAGATTTGCACGACAAATAAACGCTTGGCAATCTTGATATGCTGGCAAAAATTGCAAACTTAATAAATATGCATTGCTTAGTTTTGGACTCTAGTATGTTCTCTAGCTGGTCTCTTTCCCAGAAAATGATTTATGAAAACCTTTAATTAACTTTTCTGTGTTGTAAAATCTTACCTTTTCTGCTCACGAGTTTTATGTTGTTTCTTTCTTCAGGACGATTCTTGGAGCGAACGCTGACTCGTCCATCGATGTTTCAGACCCGATCAGTGACACATTTTATAAAGAAGTCTGGATGTCCATCTGCGCCCGCAACGCCACCATCTACCAGAAGGTGCCGCCGTATTTTCATGCATTAATTATTCACATTTTGTCCAGTTTTCAGTGTTCCTGTCATTCGGATTGAGCCACAGTTAAACCACACACTTTTTGTTACACCAGTGAATCCATGTGTCATTCGTTAGTTAGTTTTTTATATAAAACCAAAAAATAAGAAAAAAAAAAATATATATATATATATATATATATATATATATATATATATATATATATATATTTCTTCATTATTTGTCTCCAAAACCAAAATGAAAAAACAGATAACAATTATTTTTTTTAATTTTTCGATTTTGTGTTTAAATGAATAATGGAAAAAAAAACATAATGAGAGTTTCCCATTTCCGTGACTTTTGCGCCGCATATGGACTGAACCAGGACTAAAACAGGACTAAACCAGGTCCGGGACCAGGACCAAGACTTGAAACCAGGACCAGAACTGAGACCAGGACTAAGGCCGAAAACAGGACCAGGACTGAGACCAAGACTGAGAATGGAATCAGACCACGGCTGAGATCGGGACTGAGATCGGGACTGAGGCTGGGACCAGACCAGAACCAGACCGGGACTGAGGCTGGGACCAGACCGAGACTGAGACCGTGCTTGAGTCCGGGACCAGACCGGGACTGAGACCAGGACTGAGACCAGAACTGAGGCCGGGACCAGGCCGGGACCAGACCAGGACCAGACCGTGATTGAAACTGGGACTGAGGCCGGGACAAGACCAGAAGTGAGGCCAGGACTGAAACTGGGACCAGGACCAGGCCTCAGACCGGGACTGAGAACAGGATTGAGACCGGGACCAGACCAGGACTGAAAACGGTTTAGTCATGGTTCAGTCCTGGTTCAGTCCTGGTTCAGTCCGGCATCACAGTTTAAGTCTTGTAAACGGGAAACGGTTGTTATCTGTTTTTTTCATTATTAATTTAAACACAAAATTGAAAACTGAAAAAAACAAATCATTATCTGTTTTTTTAATTTTGATTTTGGAGACAAATAATGAAGAAAACTGTAGTTTTTTCATTTTCTTAATGTTGATTTTATTTTGAAAAACGAATGAACGAATGACACACAGACTCCAGTGATGTGTTTAATTGAAGCTGCACTGTTTAACTTTTCTGGTGGTTCGCTGCTCCACAGATCTGACTAACCCTGACTCCTTCTCGTGGCTTCACCTGCTTGTTTCCATGGAGTTAGATGAGTTTAATGCTATACTGTGGAATCTTCCAGGCAAAGTAATAACATTTGGAAACAAGCAGATGATGGACCTACGATCAGAAAAGTTACACAGCTGAAATAAGTCCTTTTGGGTTTTTTGCTTTTCCTGCATTTTGTCTTTATTAAATGTGTATAAAATAAACATATAATCATCTTTTCTGTTTTTAGGTTTTCCGCTGCCTGCCGTCCAGCGATGTCCGCAGCATCACGGAGCTGGAGAGTTTTCTGTCCAAACCCGGTCTGGAGAAAGAGGACCCGACCCGAGCGCGCGAGGAGCTGAAGAAGATCAGAGGGTTTGCGGTTCAGTTCCCGCTGCAGTTTCTGGCTGAACAGAACCTGCTCCCTCCCATCGGGTCCAAGGAGGCCATGGTGCCGATGGAAGTCTGGACATGAGAGAAAGAGGAGAAATAAAAGAGCAAGAATAGAAGAGAAAAAAAAAGAGGAAATAAAGAAGATTCAGACAATGTGGCGCCATCTGGAGGAGGAAGGGGGAAAGTGCATGTCCAGGGATCTGCTGCAAATGAATAATAATAATAATAAATAATAATAATAAAATAAATAATAATAATAATAATAAGGCATTAATTAGACCTTCTCTTATCTTTTTGTTGAAAGTCAAACACTTTAACTGGGCCATGAACGCCCCTGATCCTGAAAATGTGCGGTTTAAATCCATTTTGTTTCTTTTTTTCAAGTCTTAAAACTTTTTTGACAGTGTTCTCTAATGTGTACACTGTGTCTCCATGGTAACGTGGTAACATTCCACCATAGAGGTATATGTAGAACACCCCCAGCACGATGTCACTGCAAACTATCAACATGTTCTTTTTTCCAGATGCTCAGAGTCACTTGACAACCCTACGCATTATTTATTCACTACAGACTTTGTGGTGGTGAGGTGCTGTTGTGGCCACAGCTGCCCTGGGGCGCACTGATGAATGAGAGACTGTTTATCTGCACCATCGGGCACTAATTTAACTAGTGAGCTGTCTAGTCTTTATGTGTTAAATAGGCTCTATTCAAATAGGCTCTATTCACGCTCACATCACAAACCAGGAAGACGTTTGGAAACATGTGGTGACAATTTCCATCGGTCTTTGTTTGTGGTAGTACTGTATTTTTCAAACTATAAGTTGCCCTTTTTTGGGTGAATTTATTTTATAAAATCGGAGACCAGGATCTGATATTTCATCTCGAAAGGCAAGTTATAGTAAAAACAATAAAACAGAGAACAACAGACCGTTAACGTCACATATGAACAGTTCTTCAGATAATTATAGCATAAACAACAGAACAGAACAAGTTTAACAAACTCTCCATCTCACTCCAAATCACTAAATCCACTGAATTCTTCATCCTCGGTGTCACTTCTGAGCAACTCCACGACCTCCGGAGGTAAACAGAGCGTCGCTTCCTCTTCTGTGCATCTGTCATCAGACTCAGAATCAGTTCCAGTTAGAATTATTCCGATCTTTCTGAATCCCGACAGGATGGTTTCAGTGTCACTGAAGTCCAGGCTTTGTCCATCCATCCAGTGACTTCCAGGAAAGTTGCATGTTGCACCCTCCTAGTTACCGAGAAACTGTGTTTTCCATTCCGCCTTTCGTCAGTCTCGTAAATACGGGACCGTAAATACCGTAGGTCTGATAAAATCTAGGCAAATGAGAAAACATGAAATTGTAGCGTTCCGTTATGTTCGGCTTATCGACAATTACAGCCATACCTCAGTTTTCATGATTTCTCCACTGACACACAACTCCGATCCCACTGGGAATATGCGATTAGAAGAGACCAGTGTCGGGAACTGCACCGGAAGTTGTCATTGCATGTTTCCAAAAGTCTTCCTGGTTTGTGTCGTAACGTGTGACAGCTCAAGATTCTGAAATTATTTTTCACGAAAGCTTCAGAAAGCGACGTTATTTACCACTCAGTTTCTGCTCACTTTTCTTTCCTCACTGATAAACCCCACCCACTGAGGAGAAGGGACCAATCGGCTTCCTCTATCTCCCCTCAGTCGATGTGATTGACCGCTGAGGATTCAAGGAGACAAGTGAGCAGAAACGGGACGCAGCCATGAACGTGCACTTCCTCCGTTTGATTTTTCTAAGATGGCGCCACATCACATGAGTTTTCCTACGCCAATAAACACTTGAGAAGCCTGAAGACAAAAAAAAAATCCAACTCCAGGGGGCGCAGTCGAGTCGGATTCGTTAAGAAACAATGAAGGAAACACTATGCAACGTGGGTGCAGTGAACGCAGCCCCGTCAAGAGACACTAAAGTGCGTTTGAAGCCTTGTTTTTTTTGTTGTTTTTTGTTTTTTTGACAAAGTGCCAAAGACTTTTCCCACTTCGTGTCACTGTGGATCTAAGCCTGAAGTGGCCTGTTTGAGACTCACTCCAAACCAGTTTCTGTTTACACTGCGCTACGTTCAAGGACGGAGCAAACGTGGGAAATTTAAGATATTCCTCTTTCAGCACTCCTTAATTTAAGTGTTTGTTTTCGGTGGGAGCGTTCGTATTTAAACACATGTCACAACTGGGGCTAAACCTGGACCAGACGAGGACTAAAACGGGACTAGACGAGGACTAAAACAGGACTACTGGAGACCATGACTAAACCAGGATTAGACCAGGACTAGACAAGGACAAAACCAGGACTAGACCAAGACTAAACGAGGACTGGACTAGGATGCAACGAGGACTAGACCAGCACTAAACAAGGCCTAGACGAGAAATAACACAGGACTAGACAAGGACCAAACCACGATTAGACCATGACTAAACCAGGACTGGACTAGGATGCAACCAGGACTAGATAAGGACTAAACTAGGTCTAGGCAAGGACTAAATCAGGACTAGACCAAGACTAAACCAGAATTAGACCAAGACTAGACAAAGATCAAGCCAAGACTAGACCAAGACTAGGATGCAACCCAAACTAGACCAGGACTAGACCAGGACTAGACCAGGACTAGACCAGGACAAAATTGGAACTAAATAAGGACTAGACTAGGACACAACCAGGACTAGACCAGGATTAGACAATGATTTAACCAGGAATAGACGAGGACTGCATCAGGATTAGATCAGGACTAAACAATGACTAAAATAGGACTAAATCAGGACTAGACAAGAAATAAAACAGGACTAGGCCAAGATTAAACCAGGACTAGACCAGGATGCAACCAGCACTAGACAAGGACTAAACCAGCACTAGACAAGAAATAAAACAGGACTACGCCAAGACTAAATCAGGAGTAAATCAGGACAAGACCAGGACTAAACCAGGACAAGACTATTTCTAGACCATGACTAAACCAGGTCTAAACTAGAACTAAACCAGGACTACACAATGATTAAACCAAGACTAGAACAGGACTAAACCAGGATTAAAACAGAACCCAACCGAGGACCAAACCAGGACTAAATCAGGACTAAACCGGGCTCTAAGTAGGACCAGACCAGGACCAAACCAGGACCAAACCAGGACTGAGTGTGAACGCTCCCTTTGTTACGTTTCTGTCCTTTTTTCTGTTTTCAGCACAAAATTATGTGAATTATGAAACTGATTTATTGGAAATTGCCTTACACAAATTACAAAGCAGCTTCCTCCTTTTTTCCTTAAAGCCACACTATGTAACTTTACCTGTGGGGCGGCCGCTACCATGGAGATGTTATGGCTTTGCCCAGAATGTTCCACAGTTTAGTTTCACACTTATCTAACATGCATTTATTTAATTATAGAGTTTTTTATCGCTTAAAAATGACTTGAAAAACACACATTCTTATCCCCGCTCCACAAACCTGACCTGTAACCTGTCGTCTCTATGGAGATGAGGTTAAAGGCATACTGCGGAACATTCCAGACAAAGCAATAATATGTCCACGGAAAGAAACAGGTGGCCGTCGTGTCTTCCATAAAACAAAATTTGATCTTGAGTCGAAAAATGTTTTAAAACGGTAAAAGTATGAACTCACAAAGTGCACGAATTACAGCTGAAACTTCATCGTGGTATTTACAGAAAAGGCCTTTACAAATGTGTTACGAAGTGTCATTACGAAAAAAAAAAAAGAACAAGTGTCTAAATAAATCCTCAAAGTGGGACCGTCTCTGCGAAAAGAGACGCATGATCACATGACTCTGACGCTCCTCTAGAGGTGGGAGAGGCACAGCAAAAAAGATTATATCGTTCATGTAGTTTTGGAGATTAGAAAAATTTAGAAATAGAGTTAAAAAAAATGACAAATTAAAGGATTCACGCTTAACTTTAAATCTTAAACAAGGCCTAACCGTGTTCTAGAGCTGCTCGATCATGGAAAAAAATCACGATTATTTTGGTCAATATTGAAATCATGATTATTCAACGATAATTTTTTGTTACATTATGCATTTATTTGGCATTTCTCTCTCAAAAAAACACCCAAAACTTCCAAATTGAACATAAATATAGGCTACAAGTATGAACCTTAGAGCAGTTTTGCGATGTATGAAACAAAAAATGAGTAAAATATACTTTGAACATGAAATAAGGCGCAGAAAAACATAAATACACTGCAAAAAACAAAATCTAGTCAAGATAAAATGACTTAAATTAAGAAAGTTTTATCATGATTTGAGTAAATTTCACTTGACAAGTAAAATTATCTGCCAGTGGAACAAGACTTTTTGTACTTAAAATATGAAAATACATCTTAATTATATAAATAATAATAAAATAATAAAAACGACAACTTTTTGCACTTAAAATAAGTGTTGCTTGAATAAATTTTACTTATCAAGCTGAATCGACTCAAATAAAGTCAAATATTCTTAATTTAAGTCATTTTAACTTACCTAGATGTTGTTTTTTTCCAGTGTGTATCCAAAATAAACTATATATCCAGCTCTCTATATTAAAAAAATTATAATAAATATACTTATTTATATGAAAAATATCTCCAAATAAACTTTGTTAAGCTTTATTGTTTCAACTCAATTATATTATATATTAAAATTCGATTAATTGCACAGCCTACAATTGTAATGCTGATTTATTCTTGGTTTCAAAAACATTGGAGATGCTCTCCAAGTTGTTTATGTTACAATTTGGTGTTTTGGTTCTCAGGATAATTATCCAATCAGAAAGCAGAAGTCTCACACAAGTTTCTCATTTGGGTCACCAGTTTCAATTCTGAAATCCAGATGATTTAAACCTAAAAAAAAAAAACCTCACTCTGATCTGAATCTTAGCCAGGTTCAGTTATGATCGAAGTATGTCTACATAAATAGGCCCTATAGATTAAAAATAAAACAAACTTGCATTGTAATCTTTCAAATAATGGTGTAAAGTTGGGATGTAACGATATTCAAACCTCTCGATATGATATTTTCACGATATACATCCCACGATACGATATTTATTGCAAAACGAAATTATGAAAATGCCTTGGCAAGACTCCAGTTCTGTCATAAACTGCAGAATTAAGAATTAAATGTGCTTAAAAATGTAGATTCGTATTATTATTTGTATTAGTTTTCATGTAGTCTTCACTGTAATGGAGCAAAAGGTCATGATCTCCATCCATGAAACAAAAACATGACTGATATATTCATTTTTTTGTCTGTATCTCCCCCTCACCTCTATTACCATGAGTTATTTTATACGACTTGATCACTTTACTTGTGTCTTTAAAGGTGCACTGTGTAACTTTTTGGTTGGGGGTTCGTCCCCTGCTTGTTTCTATGGATATCTAAACCAAGACTAAACCAGGACTTAACCAGGACTAAACCAGGTCTATACCAGGTCTGAACCAGGTCTAAAACCAGGACTAAAACATGATTTAATCAGGACTAAAACCAGTACTAAACCAAACTAAAACCAGGACTAAAACCAGTACTAAACCAAACTAAAACCAGGACTAAAACCAGTACTAAACCAGGACTAAAACCAGGACTAAAACCAGGTCTGAACCAGAACTAAAATCGGGACTAAACCAGAACCACACCAGGTCTAATCCAGGTCTAAACCAGGACTAAAACCAGGACTAAAACCAGGTCTGAACCAGAACTAAAATCAGGACTAAACCAGGACCCCACCAGGTGTAAACCAGGACTAAACCAGGACTAAACCAGGACTAAACCAGGACTAAACCTGGACTAAACCTGGACTAAACCTGGACTAAACCTGGACTAAACCTGGACTAAACCAGGACTAAACCAGGACTAAACCAAGCCACGCCACCGCAGCCCCTGGTCCTCGAAATACTGTTGGACATAAAACTGGTCCGTGGAGCTGAAAATATTGAGGACCACTGATTTAACGAACCCTCCGACAGAAAAGTTACACAGCGCAGCTTTAAGTGACATGTCTTTATCTGTTAAATAGATAAATGTCCGTCCCTTTTCTCCTTAAACGCACCATTATTTATGCTTCGCTTACTTCCGTTTACGTTGCTTTATGTTGTATTTTTGTTTTTCAAGCTGCTTCGTTGTTTTGTCTTAAAATAATGTGATGAAGAGTTTTGGAATCATTTGTTTACACTGAATGATCTGCTGAAGGCTGAGGACCATAGTCATTAAATCTTGGGTAATTTTTTATTTTGTGTCACATTTTATTTATGTTTATGTTATTTTTTCATCATTGTTTACTTATTATAAAATTATTTTGTTGGGTTAAAGTCCTTTTTGTGTTATAGCGTCTTGAACATTACTTCATAAGTACATACATTTTTATAACAATTGGAAGTAAATTCAGGTCTGTGTTACTAGGTTTAACTAGGTCTAAATCAGGTCTAAGCCAGGTCTGAACTAGGCCTAAACCAGGTCTGAACTAGGCCTAAACCAGGTCTAAACTAGGTCTAAACCAGGTCTGAACCAAGACAAGTCTTAACCAGGTTTAAATCAGGACTAAACCTGGTCTAAATCTGGTCTAATCCAGGTCTAAACCAGGACTAAACAAGGTCTAAGCCAGGTCTAAACCAGGTCTAAACCAGATCTAAACCAAGTCAAGTCTTAATCTGGTGTAACTAGGTTTAAATCAGGACCAAACCAGGTCTAAACCAGGTCAAAACCAGGTCTAAACCAGGTCAAGTCTTAACCCGGTGTAACTAGGTCTAAATCAGGACTAAGCCAGGTCTAAACTAGGTTTAAACCAGGTCTAAGACAGGTCTAAACCAGGTCTAAACCAGGTCTAAAACAAGTCACGTCTTAACCTGGTCTATCTAGATCTAAATCAGAACTAAACCAGGTCTAAGCCAGGTATAAACCAGGTCTAAACCAGGGCTAACCAAGGTTTAAACCAGATCTAAACCAAGTCAAGTCTTAACCAGGTTTAACTAGGTCCAAATCAAGACTAAACCAGGTCTAAGCCAGGTCTAAACCAGATCTTAACCAGGTCTTAACCAGGTCTAAACCAGGTCTAAATCAAGTCAAAACTTAACCCGGTCTAACTAGATCTAAATCAGGATTAAACCAGATCTAAACCAGGTCTACACCAGATTCAAAGTACATCTGTAACTGGTCTCACTCTGGACTATCATGGGACTAGAGTTTGACTAAACCAGGACTTAACCTCGGTCCCTACAAAGCCGCTAGAAATCCAACAGTTCACAAAGACTGTAGATTTGTTTTGAAATGTGGTTTGTATTTTTGAACAGCCGACACCTCCCCCCGTCTCAAATCACCTAAACGTTTGTAACAATTCTGACGCGATCCTGTGTCCAAATGACAAAAACCCCAACTGAGCACTGAAGTCTGTACATTTGATCTGTCTATAGTCTGCATGGGGCTGCTCTGTTTACTAATGTGCATCTTTTTATGTGATTATTTAAGTGCATGTTTCCGCCCACTGTCCTTAAAGCATGAATCTGATCGTCTCAAACTCGTGTCTCGCTCCAGATTTGCCTTTTGGTGTTGACTGTTGTTCTACCTCTGTGTCTCTGACCTTTTATCAGAAATTATCCGTTTTGTAAGACTGGATTTATACGCTATAGATCGGCTTATAAAACACAGAAAAAACCTTAACCAGTGCTGGACGTTATAAAAACTAGAATGAACAGAAATCAAAGCTGTTTTGGTCGATAAAAATATCAAATAAAACTGAATACAGTGGCCTTAAAAGGTTCTATAATACACAGAATTTACTCTAGTGAGATTAAACCGTGTTGTTACCTCAAACAAGGTCTAAATCAAGTTCAAACCCGGGTCTAAACCAGGTCTAAACCAGGTCGAAATCAGGTCGAAATCAAGTTTGAACCCCAGTCTAAACTAGGTCTAAACCAAGTTTGAACCAGGGTCTAAACCAGGTCTAAACCAAGTCCGAACCAAGTCTGAACCAGGGTCTAAACCAGGGTCTAAACCAGGTCTAAACCAGGTCTAAATCAACTTCGAGCCCCGGTCTAAATTAGGTCTAAACCAAGTCCAAACAAGGGTCTAAACTAGGTCTAAGCCAGGTCTAAACCACATCTAAACCAAGTTTGAACCAGGGTCTAAACCAGGTCCATACCAGGGTCTAAACCAGGTCTAAAGAAAGTCCAACCCAGGGTCTAAACTAGGTCTAAATCAGGTCTAATCCAAGTCCGAACCAAGTCTGAACCAGGGTCTAAACCAGGGTCTAAACCAGGTCTAAATCAACTTCGAGCCCCGGTCTAAACTAGGTCTAAACCAAGTCTGAACTAGGGTCTAAACTAGGTCTAAACCAAGTCTGAACTAGGGTCTAAACTAGGTCTAAACCAGGTCTAAACCACATTTAAACCAAGTTCAAACCAGGGTCTAAACTAGGTCTAAACGAGGTCTAAACCAAGTTCGAACCAGGGTCTAAACCAGGTCTAAACAAAGACCGAACTTGGGTCTAAACTAGGTCTAAACCAATTCCAACCAGGATCTAAACCAGGTCTAAACCAAGTCCAAACCAGGGTCGAAGCCAGGTCGAAACCAAGTCCAAACCAGGGTCTAAACCAGGTCGAAACCAAGTCCAAACCAGGGTCTAAACCAGGTCGAAACCAAGTCAAAACCAGGGTCTAAACCAGGTCCAAATCAAGTTTGAACCCGGGTCTAAACTAGGTCTAAACCAAGTTCGAACCCGGGTCTAAACTAGGCCTAAACCAAGTCTAACCACATCTAAACCAAGTCCAACCCAGGGTCTAAACCAGGTCAAACCATGTCCGAACCAGAGTCTAAACCAGGTCTAAACCAAGTCCGAACAAGGATCTAAACCAGGTCCGAACCAAGTTTGAACCCGGGTCTAAACTAGGTCTAAACCAGGTCTAAACCAGGTCTAAACCAGGTCTAGGTCTTGATGAGGTAACAACATTATAACGCATTTTAAAGCTCACAAGAGTAAATTTTGAGAAGTATAAGACAGGTATAAAAAGATGTAAGAGTTTTTTTGTCCACTAGGTGTCACTAAAAGCCAAAATGGATGTTGTCAACGTTCTGCCTTTATTTTATTTTCTGCGATTTGTTCAGAAGTGCAATTTACACCATTGAAAACACGCGACAACTGAGTTTCCTCGTAACTACACTTTAATGTGAAATCTGGTTTTAAAAAAAGATTATAATATGTTAAATTTTATACACAAGAAAGAACTCTTGACTTTTGTACTTGTTTGTATGAAGCATGTTGGACAATGAGTAAACTGCAGATGTGTCGTGGCTGTACTGTTCTCCCTCTTTTCCCGCTCGCTATCCTCTAATTCTACTCTTTCGTTCTCTCCACCCTTTTTCTCTCTCTTTTCTTTCTCCCTCCTGTCTTTTCCTCTCCCTTCCTTTCTCTCTCTTACTCTTTCTTTTCCATATTTCTCCACTCTCTACCCTTGTTGAAGTACACCTCCTCTCTCTTTCTCTTCTTTATCCCTCCCTACTTCTTTCTCTTCTCTATCCATCACCTTTTCTCTTTCTCAGCCTCCTCTATCTCTCAGCCTCCTCTATCTCTCTCTCTTTTCCTCTCCTTTTCTTTCTTTCTCTCGGTGATTTCTCGTGTCTCTGTAAATTGCACTATTTGCTCAGACTGTTCTTCAAACCTGCGTTTCTTTGTCATGACTTGCTTCCTGTGAAACAAAGAAAATAAAACAATAAAGCAAGTTTTAATAAGACAAAGCCGTCAGACTGTATGTGTCCTCGTTAAAGCCACAGAATCGACTCTTTTACATAAATATTCTTTCATTCTGGTTGTTTTTATTGCACTGAAAGAGTTGAAATGTGAAATGTAAAACTGAAACATGTGTTCTCACTGTGAGCCGGCTTGCACCTCCACAAACCTGACTCTTATGTTACCGCCTCCTATTTGTCCATCCATCCATTTCCTTCTGGTTTATCCAGGGCCGGGTCACGGGGCAGCAGTCTGAGCAGGGAAACGCAGACTTCCCTCTCCACACACACGTCCTCCAGCTCTTCCGGGGGGATCCTAAACGTTCCCAGACCAGCTGAAAGACACAGTCCCTCCAGTTTGTCCTGGGTCTTTCCCCGAGCCTCCTCCCAGTGGGACATGCCCAGAACTCCCCCCGGGAGAAGCACCCAGGAGGCATTCGGAACAGATGCCCGAGCCTCAGCTGCTCCTCTCGACGTGGAGCAGCTGCTCTACTCCGAGCTCCTCCTGTGTGTCTGAGCTCCTCACCCTGTCTCTAAGGGAATGCCCAGCCACCCTGCGAAGGAAACTCATTTTGACCGCTTGACATCGCATCTTGTCCTTGTGGTCATTACCCAGAGCTCATGACCATAGACTCCAGGTCTGCCAGTCCAGAGGTACTGTCCCCGACCGCCACGCGATGTTGAAGAAACATGTCAGCCAAGACCCACAACATCCAGAGACTTAAGATACTCAGGACGGATCTTATCCACCCCCAGACCCACCAAGGAGTTTGCCAACCACCTCAGTGACTTCAGCCAGGGTGATGGATGACTCCGCCTCCGAGTCCCCAGCCTCGGTTTACTCCTCGAAAGACGTGACGGTGGGATTGAGGAGATCCTCAAAGTATTCCTTCCACCACCCGACAACTTCCCCAGTCGAGGTCAACAGCTCTTCCCCCGCACTGTAAACAGTTTTGGTGAAGAACTGCTTCCCCTTCCTGAGGCGCCGGACACTTTGCCAGAATTTATTTGAGTCCTCCTCCAGATCCTCCCCAAACTCTTCTCAGCCCTGAGTTTTTGCCTCCAATTTGTTTTCATTAAAACTGTGTTCCTTTGGCCATAATCATCCACAGTATGGCATAAAAAATATCTATTTCCACAGAGAATGTTCTGAAGTATGAAGTTTTATCTTTCTTTTTCCATGGAATCAAGCAGCCGACATGCCACCTCCAGAAAGTTACATACTGAATCTTTAAATGACATTCCCTTTATCATGTAAAAAAGTTTGAGTTTTATTTATGACACTGCTCATTTATCAACATGTTAGAAGAAGAAAAAATCTCCCTCATTAATATGGACAATTTTATTTATGTATTTATGTCCAATATTTATTCAGTTTTAGGGACTAATTGTGCTTCCTGATATACAGCAGATAGTCCCCTAAAAAATCCAAACAAACTTCATTTTTTCCAAACATAAACCAATATTCGTACTACCCCTGTGTGCTTGTATTACTGTAATAAATCTTAGTCTCCCCACATCAAAAAACAATACATTCTTTTAATCTTCATTCTCTCGTAATCTTCGCTCTAATTTCCTTCTGTGTTTTCTTATC